ACTATGATACTTTTTTATGCAAAAAAAATATGAATGACACCACAGAATGAAATGACCTATTTCCAAATGGATACATGTAAATGTGTGTAAGTGTATGAAAGAAATGAGAGGAATCTAACCTAACTGATAACCCTGGCTGCCTCTGGGATAAAGAGGCTCAGCGATGTGGGTGGGCTTTGAAGGGAACTTGTCCTTTTCTATAATGTTGCCCTCTTTCTCACAAGCAGAATTTCTGTGTTACTTTTTTAAATTTTATTTTTAAAAAGTAAGTCAGTCTTCTGGTCAACAACTGATGTAGATGAAATGTGTATATTCCTTTTAAATATATAGAAGTGCTACATCAAATAAAAATTCAATTACATACAAATGTATAAATATAAATTTGAAAAGACACACATAGGGCCTCCCTGGTAGTGCAAGGGGTTGAGACACAACCTATGAAGCTGTCCGCAGCCACTGCAGCACTAGTTTGAGACCCCAGCCAGGGAGCTACCCACATGGCGCAGCAGACCTCTCCTGTCTCGCCCGCTGCTCCCCTCAGCAGTGTATTTCAGTAGATCTTCCTGTTCTGTTCCCCACTCTGTCTCTGGTGAATCCTCTCACCCCCCCCACCTCTGGCCTGTACCCCAGTTCTTGTATGCATAAATAAATAAATCTTAAAAAAAAATAGACACACATATATAGCATAACTTAAATGCAAGAAAGAAATATTTTTGTACCAGAAATTAAAAAGGAGTCCCCAAATCTAAGCAGTGATAGCTAAAGCAAGGATCTCAACAAGCAAGCAAAATGGGATTAAACTTTGTTACTGGAGGCAAGACTTTAACCTATAAGTTGCAGCATCAGAAGCTAACAGAGTGTAGAATAACCCAGGTCAAAAGGGACATCATGCTGGAAAGCAGTGGATGTGAGCACAATTGACATATAATAACCCATGGTCAGGAGTACCTCTCTGGCCCCCATATTATAGTGTTATGTTTAACAGAGGGTGAGGGGAAATTAGCAGGGACAAGGGCAATCTAAAAGAAAGACTGAACATTTCTTTTTATCTATCTATCTACCTGTCTGTCTATCTTCTATTTATTTTTTTAAACCAGAATATTTAGTGTACTACTAATTTTTGAAATCCTAAGATGAACTGTTAAATATCACAAGCAACTATGAACATTGCTAATGACACTGGACACTGTTAAATTGTTTAAATGATCAGATTTATACAATATTGAACATTTAAATAGTTTTCCTGCTCCAGGTACAGTCTCAGGAATAAATGTCGGCAAAATTAATGTGTCTGTTTTTATTTGTCTGAGTGGCAGTGAGTTAATTGTGCAACCCCACTATTTATATAACAATCCATTATGATAGTGTATATTGGTATATTTCCCCCACATTGTCTATGGTCACAGCCAATTAGAGCCGGTAAGGCAGCTGTCCTTTCGGTCCAACCAATGAAAGTAAGTGTACCATGCTGCTGAGACTCAGCTGCTGAGTGCTCTCCTGAACAATCCTTTGTTGAGCTTATGTTTGTATTAGGTCATTTGTATTTTGTCATTTGTGTTTCTTTAGCTTAACTTTCTGCTGTTTATTTTGGGTTGTAGGAAGCATTTTGACCCACATGGCAGACATACTCTGTGTAAGTGATGGTGTTGGCTCACAATAAAGCAACAAAGAATTCCAAGCTTTTTTTTTTTTAAGTGTTAGAGTGACGTGAAGTAGGGGACTGACACAAAGAAGATGCCCCTCCTCTTCTAAGTCCAGTCATGTTAGAAAAAATGTGAAGCTTTAGATCCACATTCCTATGAGGCAACTCCTCATCATGGAGAAGGCGCAGTGCCTTTTAAACCACTTTGAAGGAAAGCACTAGAAATTTCTGAGCCGTTGTTGTGGTTTGTTTCAACACCTCAGCCACCAGCAATAGCAGAAAACAGAGTGGTTGAACAGACTGCTGACCTCCCAGGCAGGATTTCTCTGATTCATCAAGGTATCCACTGAACATAGTGTAACAGGGTGGTCCCCAGGAAAGGGGGAGGTTCCCTGCCGCACCCAAGGGAGGGTGGAGCTGAGCAGGGAGAGGAGAAGCTGCAGAAGAGACTGAGTAAGGAAGCAGGATGGAGCCAGGAGACCTGGAGAAGGCGCATGGAGCCTAGAGACACGTGAAGAAACTGTGCTTGTCTTTTGGTCATGGACTGGGTGACACAGATGTGGGTGAGACCCATGGGGAGGTGACAATGGCAGCTTTTATCTTGATGTTGATTTTGCTCTTTTCCTTCCGGGCTTGTCTGGTTGTTTTTGACCCTTTTCTGTGGGTCCACGCTGGAAGATGCTTTAGACTTGTGGCAGGCTTTGGGGCCTTATTCAGGGCCGATCCCACATGGATGGAGTTTTACCCATGAGGGGACGGGTAACTTTGGGTGCTTCATTTAGAAACTAGACTCTTTGCCTTACCTGTATTGTTTCCTAGTTTTATTAAAGTTCCTTCCCATTAAAGTCTCCTATGTTTTGTGTTGATGCGGCGGATGGCAGAACCCATTTAGAATAGGCAGGTTTGTGGGGCTTGGGCTACCCCTCTCCCTGTCCTATAACAATAGCAACAACCACCCCAACAGCCTTGGGAGGAAGACTTTAATGCCTCCCAGATACTGCTCTAGAGTCCTGCACACCAGTTCTACTTTGGTGAGATTTTGATTTGAAGCCCATGCCAAACTACAGTGCAAAGACTCCATCTCTGCCTAAACTATCAAGTCTGCCAGTTCTGGGTTGTACCATAATTATTTACTTGATAATATAAATAATGATTCTCAGTATAAGTACAGAAATGATATTATTTTGTTAGAGTGACTTAATAAAGTGCCACAAACTAGGTGGCTCAGAACAGCAGAAATTTGTTGTCTCGCAGTTCTGGAGGTCAGAGTTTGAAGTGAAGATGTCAGTTGGGCTGTGTTCCTCTAAAAGCTCTAGGGAAGGGTTTGTTCCCAGTTCCTCTCCTAGCTTTTGGTAGTTCCTTGCTTGTGGCAGCATAACTTTAACATGACAGTCTCCTTGTGTGTCTGTGTGTCCAAATTTCCCCTTTATAGAACACCAGTCACACTGGATTTGAGGTTTCCCCTACTCTATTGTGATCTCATCTTTACTATTTATAGCTTTAAAAATCCAAATAAGGTCACTTTCTGAGAGATACTGGGAGTTTGGACTTCAACATATGAATTTTTAGGGAACATATTTCAACCCATAGCACCTACCTATCTTGTGTTATTCAGGGGGCAAATCTATGTAAAAGGATATTGGCTTACAGAATCATTGGAAAGGCTGAAGAACCAGCTTGGAAAGTGGGCAGGTACAGGGGAAGCTGGGCAGCAGCCAAAACAGCTGTCAAAATTTTGTCCCAAAATCTCGTTCCAAAGTCCGGTGAGGACATTTTTATAGGACCCTGTAACCATAGCTTACCCTGCCCCAGAATTTCAAAATTGCTATACTGTAACTTCCAAATACCTTCAGTCACCCAACCCAAGAATGAATTTTTCAAGATGTTGGTTTTTATATCACTATTTCTCAATTCTAAGACCAGGCTGTAAGCCTATGTCCTAGCTGCAAGGGAGGCTGGGAAAGCAAGTGTCTCAGTTTTGCTTTAAAAGTATAAGGAGATGGAAGTTGTCTTTCAACCAATATCCATAAAGTGGAGAATTCCTCAAATGTGAGAGGCGGTTCAGAGGCTAAGCAGTCAAAAGAAATAACAAATGTCCATTCCAAAATATGTTTATTATCTCTGTTGTTGTCCAGGCAGGTAGTCACTGGAATCCTAACATTTGCACCATAAGCAATCCCTCACATTGTTAGAACTAGGCCTCATTAGGACCATGGGTTCTAACCATTAACTTCTCCCTCCAGTTTCTTAGGACACATCCACAATATATTTTTAAAATGATTTATTTATTTATGCATACAAGAACTGGGGTACAGGCCAGAAGTGTGGAGGGTGAGAAGATTCATCAGAGACAGAGTGGGGAGCAGAACAGGCAGATCTACTGAAATACACTGCTGAGGGGAGCAGCGGGCGAGGCAGAAGAAGTCTGCTGCACCATGTGGGTCACCTCCCTGGCCGGCTGGGGATCAAACTCGTGCTGCAGAGGCTGCAGATAGCTTCATAGTGCTGTACTTGACCCCTTGTGCCATCAGGGAGGCTCCACATCCCCAATATTATATAACATATTACATATTAGGATTAACTAGGGCAACATAATTACAGGTAAGTAGCAGAGACTTTTATTTATTTTTAAAAAGATTTATTTATTTATTTATATAAGCACTGGGTACAGTCAGAAGCACGGGAGGATTAGAGAATTCACCAGAGCCAGAGCAGGGAGCAGAACAGGCAGACTGACGAAGTACAATGCTGAGGGGAGCACTGGGCAAGGCAGGAGAGGTCTGTGTGCCATGTGGGACCCTTGCCGGAGGCTGGGGATTGAACCGGCGCTTCAGAGGCTGCGGGCAGCTTCGCAACACAGTGCTCAACCGCTGCGCCACCGGGGAGGCCCAATAGCAGAGACTTTTATAGATTGTAATATAATCATTGGTAACCCCAAAATGAAAAACTGATGAAATGGATAATTTTCTAGAAAAAAATATAAATAAAAAATTGAATTCAGGAGAAACAAGAAATCTAAACAATCATTAGAGACTCCAACATCAAAAGTTATCTCTAAGCCTAGATCATTTAATAGACCAGTTTTATCAAGACTTTAATGAACAGGTAATTCCAGTTTTATAAAAGCTATTTAAAAAAATAGAAAAAAATTCTCAATTCACTTTGTAAGACCATTAAAAAACTTACATGTAAAAAAGATGACAAGCATATATAAGGGAAAAAAACACTTAGATCAATACCTAGACCAAAAATCCCTAATTTGTAAAGTAATGTCATTTCAGTGAAAAAAGTGCCAAAAAAGGAAAATCAATGTAATAACAGCACCTAAAAATAGTGCTAATTAGAAATATCTGTATAGATCCTTCTTCATTTCAAAAGTGTGATGACTGGGTACTCAAGTCATGTGTAAAAGTGTCTCCCTCCGATCTTGTTACTATGTCAGCACATTTTTGTCTTAAATGATATTATTTATTTTTTTAAGATTTATTTATGCATACAAGAGCTGGGGTGTAGGCCAGAGGTGCAGGGGGGTAAGAGGATTCACCAGAGACAGAGTGGGGAGCAGAACAGGTGGACTGACTGAAATACACTGCTGAGGGGAGCAGCGGGAGAGACAGGAAAGGTCTGCTGCGCCATGTGGGTCGCCTCCCTGGCCGGGGATCAAACTCATGCTGTAGTAGCTTCGGAGTGCTTCGTCGTGCTGACGCTTAACACCTTGTGCCACCAGGGAGGCCCTGTCTTAAATGATTTTAAAAAAGTATCAGTATAAAAAGTTTCTTTTTAAAATTATTCTGTAATCAAATATGTTTTCTTGAATGCACCGTGAAATCCCCCTTTTCACTGGAAGTAGGCTCCCTCAATGACCTCTCAATCCAAATACATAATTTTTCAGGTCTTTTAGTTATTAAAACAGTCTGCTTTCAAAAGGAAAAAAAAGAAAAAATAGCCTCATTTCAGTTATTAAGATTGATTCATTTTGAAACCTCAATTCATATCTGATGCAAAACATTCCTCCTTCTCCCACCAAGACAAGCTGAACTTGCAGCTCTGGTAAAGTGGAATTGGGGGTGGAATTGGGGATGTGGGATGTGCTTATTGCATCCCATTCTCTCTTCCCTGTTCTTACTGTGGTATGTAAAATTCCAAGTGTGACCCTCAATGACCCCTGTGCTTGCACAATACTCTCCCTTTTGAATATGTGTAGAAACTGGAAATATGATGAGATCTTATGCTGAAGGTTAAGTTATATTACATGGCAAAAAAGAAATTATCTGGGCTGGTCAATCCTAATCACAAGAGCCTTTAAACTCAGCGTTTTCCTAACTGGTAGCAGAGGAGTAAGTCAGAAATTTAAAGTATAACAGGGACTCAATGCACTGTTGCTGCCTTAATAAAGGAGGCCACATGCTAAGAAAAGCAGGCAGTCTCTAGGAGCCGATAGTGGCCCCCATCGACAGACAACAAGGAAAAAGGGACCGCAGTTGCACAGTTACAAGGACCTGCATTTAGCCAACAAGCTGGAAAGCAGCTTCTTGGATAGAGTTGCCAGAGAAGAAACCCCAATGGCCAGTGATCTGTAAGGCTTTGTGACATCTGTGTAGAGAAACCAAGTTGAGCTTATAGGACTCTGAGATAACATACTTGTATTCCTTTAAGCTACTGTATTTGTAGTAATTCGTTACACAACAGTAAATAATAAGACAAAACAAATGACTGTTACTACTTTGGGGTGGAAGGAAGAGAGAAGAGACAAAGAACCTTTCCCGGGCCTCCCTGGTGGCGCAGCAGTTGAGCGCCGCCCTGTGGAGCTGTCCGCAGCCTCTGCAGCATGGGTTGGATCCTGGACACCGGAGAGGAGCCCATATGGTGCAGCAGACATCTCCGGCCGCACCTGCTGCTCCTCTCAGCAGTGTATTTCATCAGTCTGCCTGTTCTGTTCCCTGCTCTGTCTCTGGTGAATCCTCTCACCCTCCTGCGCACCTGGCCTGTACCCCGGTTCTTGTATAAATAAATAAATAAATCTTAAAAAAAAAAGAAAGAAAAGAAAAGAACCTTTCCCTACATGATTGCCCTTGAAGCTTGCCCTCTCATTACTTGGACACAATCACGGTTCCTTTAGTATAAATAACTCCAGCTAGGAGGTGGACACATTTCTGACCGTTTTCTGTTGGTTGCCATGGCTTTTCTGTTTCTTACCAATTGGACATTAGTTCCCTCCTTTGGCCTAATGTCCAGAAGCTAATTCTCTAAAAGGTTCTATGACATGTTCCTGGCAGGAAGTTGGACATGGGAATCTAAATGAAGCTCAACTTCTTTTGCCCCAACTTAACACAAATACACTTTCTGTAGTCTAGGCGCCAAGGTTCTATTTCCAAGGCAGTGACCATCTTATGGCCTGAAGCAAAATTTCTTACTCCCTGCCATCTTCTTCAGAGGCCACTGACCTTTGGGAAATTTCAGCAACCTTCCCACACCAAAGCGGGGAAATGTTACTCGACCTCACTATGTCTCTTTTGCCAACTGAGTGGCTCAACAACTTTTAGACAGGCTATAATCACAAGTCTTAGATTTTGTTGGAGGATAAGAAACTCCTTTTCACTCTTCTAAAAGGTGACCTATTTTGCTCTTGGTCCTCCCTTAAAATTCAATGAAAAAAGTTATCAAACCAGTTGAGCCTGTGCAGTCCCTGAGGGAACTGAAGTCTCAGGTCAAGACTTCGACCTTATTTGAACTCATATGTGAACCGAGTAATTGTTCTCATCAGAGCAATGTCTCCGTTGAAATCCCTGAAATACTGGGCCTCCCTGGTGGCACAAGAGGTTGGGCACCACACTGTGAAGCAGTCTGCATCCTCTGCAGCAAGAGTTCCATCCCTGGCCATCCAGGGAGCAACCCACGTGGCGCAGCAGACCTCTCCTGTCTCGCCTGCTTCTCCCGTCAGCAGTGTACTTCAGTCAATCTGCCTCTTCTGTTTCCCACTCTGTCTTGGGTGAATCCTCTCACCCACTGCATTTCTGGTCTTTACCCCAGCTCTTGTATGCATAAATAAATAAATCTTTAAAAAAAAAAGAAATCCCTGAAATATTGATAACTCCTAAGGATATCAATTACGCTTAATAATTATCCTGTTATACTATTCTTATTACAAATTCATCAGTCTTAAAAAAAAAAAAGACCCATTATAATGAAGTAGAGTTAAACAGAGTAAAAACAAGATGGTTCAATATTAGAAAATCTATCACAATAATCTTAACATCTTAATAGATTAAGGAGAAAATTCACTTAATTTTCTCCAGATGCATGAAGAAGCATTAGATAAAGTTGAACACTTTTTCATATTCAAATAAAAAACTTAAACCATGAACAGCAGGAAACTTATAATGTAAGGAAGGGCATCTACTAGCAAAAATAATGATGAATATGCTCTGAACTTTTATCCATTCTTTCTGTATCCCCCCATCCATTAATATGTATCCCCTATTGTGTACAAACATTTTAAAAATCAATAAAAGGGAAACTGAAGAAGTCACACATACAGGTACAATATTTACATCCTCATAATTATAAAATGGAACACCAGGCACCCAACTCTTAGCTATTATGAGGATTAACTCACATAATCTATGTGAGGTTCTCAGCACCCTGCACATGTAGATTGAGACCAATCTACATGTAGAACACATAGTAGATGCTCAATAAACACTGTGCTCATGAAAGTAGAAAAAAAGGGGAGGGGAAATCTACCTAAACCTTACAGTAAACATCAAATCTCAGAAGCATTTTTATTGAAGTCCAGAATAAGACAAGGATGACCACTATTATTGCTGTTATTCTATAATATATTAACTTTTCTAATGGTTATAAGAAAATAAAATGATACAAGAGAGACAAATTGATGATTTTTTAATAGATAACACCATTTATATAGAAAATTCAAGAACATCCACTAAAACACTCATAAAACAAAATGCAGCGGCATTGCTGGCTGTTAGATCAAAATACAAAAATTGATAATTGTCTATGTAAGGAATAATGAAATAGAAATAAAGTAGGAAAAAGATGTAATTTATAACAGCAATAAAACTATAAATTACTTTTAAAAAAGCTATCCATAGATACAGAGATTCTAAGGAGAAAATGATAAAACATAACTAGAAGATGTAAAGGGAGATATGAAAAAAAATGGAGCTACCCGTCATGTTTGTGCCTGGGAAGAATTCATACTGAAAAGATGTCAGGGTAACCTGTTAACCCGATGCAACTGGAATCAAAACCATAACATAATTCATTTTTATGAACTAAACTGATTTTAGAAGTGACATCCAAGAAGAACCCAAACAATATTGAACAAGATAGGAGAGCTTTCCCTGTTGGATATTAAAATTGAAAGAAAAAGCCTGTATGTATATTTAGCATTTGCTGAAATTGTGTCTTTTTAAATAACACTATTCATTTCCAAACATTTGGAATGATACTCGGAATTTGAACTACTTCTGTAATGTTAGACAGACTCAGAAACATTATGAAACTTCCAGAACACTGAAAAGTTGAGATACATCTTATTTTTTACGATTTTCTTTATAGATTAGCCTGTTGTCATTAATAAATACAAGTAGGTTTTGAACCAGAATAAAAGCCTATTGTGGATGGGTTTGCAGAGTTTAAGTCCCAAAGATTATAAAGGTATCTACATCTCTTGGAACAAAAGGAGGGTATCAACAATTTAGCAGAAGTTTGTCCCCAGAAGAACAAGGGCAGAGTGTCATGGGCTAACTATGGACTGCAGAAGAACAACAGCAGCAGTTTTTACTTAATGTAAAAGTCACAAAATACAGGAGATGCTTTTAGAATGTGCAGATCAATACAGTATATTTTCTCATTTTGTTTGACGTTTGCAGTATTTCCTGACACCTTCAGTTTTGTTTTTTTTTAAAGATTTATTTTTATTTATTTATACAAGCACTGGGTACAGTCAGAAGTGCGGGAGAGTGAGAGAATTCACCAGAGCCAGAGCGGGGAGCAGAGCAGGCAGAAGGACCGAAGTACACTGCTGAGGGGAGCAGCGGGCGGCAGGAGAGGTCTGCACGCCATGTGGGACCCTCCTCTGGTGGCCGGGGAGCAGCCGGGGATTGAACCAGCACTGCAGAGGCTGCGGGCAGCTTCGCAACCCAGTGCTCAACCGATGCGCCACTGGGGAGGCCCTACCTTCAGTTTTTATGTGGCCCTGTGTTGGCCTTTTGGTCATTTCTCTTCTTTTTTTGCTGTGTCTAAACTAACCCTGCTACCATATCCCAGATCACACGCCTCTCCTTTGAAGAACTCACTAGTTTTTTAAAATGTTTAGCCAATCATCACCTCAAAAGATCAGTCTCCAGGGCCTCCCTCGTGGCGCAGGGGTTTTAAAGACAGCGCTGTCAACCTGTTGCCAGCCACTGCAGCATGAGTTCGATTCTGATTCCAGGGTCCCAGGCTTGCTAGGAAGCAACCCACACCATGCGGCAGACTGCTCCTGCCTCTCCTGCTGCTCCTCTCAGCAATGTATTTCAGCAGATATACCTGTTCTTCTCCCCACTCTCTCTGGGGAATCCTCTCACACCCACCCCCAACCTCTGGCTTACACCCCAGTTCTTGTATGCATAAATAAATAAATCTTAAAAAAAAAAAAAAAGTCTCCAGCCTGGATTCAGTTCCACATTTTCCATCACAGAACTTTTTGTTCCCTGGTGTGAAAGGTTCGGCGCGGTAAAGAAAAGGAGAGCCAGGCTACATTTCTCAAAGGGAGGGAAAGTTTATTGCGCCCCTGGCGGACCTCACAGACCCAAGGCGGGGGTCAGTGGAGTCGCGCACGTTGTTGGGGGGAAGCAGGGTTTTATAGGGTGAGGAGAGGTCAGGTGGGTAGTTGGGCTCGTATGGTGGGAAAAGTTTGTAGGGCAGGTAGAGGTTCTTTGTCTGAGACGAGACTCGTAGGGGGAGGGGGGAGGCTCATTGCCTGAATCCTCCAGGCAGGTATCCGCATTCCTGCCCCCCAGGTGGGCTTCCTGGTTGGCTCCTGCATTCTGGCTTCCTGCATGGACCTTTCATGGTGTATCTTCCAAAATTCAATAGCCACCCAACTTTTCATTTTCCTCCAGAATTTTTGTTAACAGGATCATCATTCTCTTTGAATGGAAATTTATTTATTTATTTTAAAAGATTTATCTATTTATGCATACAAGAGCTGGGGTATAGGCCAGAGGTAGGGGGTGGTAAGGGGGTGAGAGGGTTCACCAGGAACACAGTGGGGAGCAGAACAGGCAGCACTACTGCAATATACTGCTGAGGGGAGCAGCAGGTGATATAGGAGAGGTCTGCTGCACCACATGGGTCACTGCCCTGGCAGGCTGAGGGATCCAACTGTAACAGGGTGGTCCCCAGGAAAGGGGGAGGTTCCACGTTCCCTGCCCCACCCAAGGAAGGGTGGAGCTGAGCAGGAGGAGAGGCTGCAGAAGAGACTAAGGAAGGAAGCAGGATGGAGCCAGGAGACCTGGAGGAGGCGCATGGAGCCTAGAGACACGTGAAGAAACTGCGCTTGTCTTTTGGTCGTGGACTGGGTGACACAGATGTGGGTGAGACCCGTGGGGAGGTGACAATGGCAGCTTTTATCTTGATGTTGATTTTGCTCTTTTCCTTCCGGGCTTGTCCGGTTGTTTCTGGCCCTTTTCTGTGGGTCCCCACTGGAAGATGCTTTAGACTTTTGGCAGGCTTTGGGGCCTTGCTCTGGGCCAATCCCATATGGATGGACTTTTACCCACGAGGGGACGGGTAACTTTGGGTGCTTCCTTTAGAAACTAGACTCTTTGCCTTACCTGTATTGTTTCCTAGTTTTATTAAAGATCCTTCCCATTAAAGTCTCATATGTTTTGTGTTGATGCGGCGGATGGCAGAACCCATTGAGGATAGGCAGGTTTGCGGGGCTTGGGCTGCCCCCTCCCTGTCCTGTAACACAACTTGTGCTGCCACGGCTGGCGCCAACTTGACACCACTGTCTTTAACCCCTGCACCACAAGCGAGGCCCCTGAATGGAAATTAGAGTCCTCCTGCTAGGGTCCTATGACAGCAGATTCATAACCATCTTTTGTACCTCTTGGAGCCTCAGGTAGTAGTTACACATGGTTAAGTTTTTCCTTCCAAGTCATTAAAGACAGAATCCTTCTGTTATAGAGCAACCCCGATATTAACTCGGTTCCTGGCTGTGGGTCCTCACCCGCGTGCTTTAAAGGGACTTATGAATACTCTACTACCGACACACACAAAAGGGTTAATAAAAGGTTTATTTACAAGAGAAAAGGAAATAAGGAAAATGTACAACTCAGGGAGAAAATAGGGAAATAAAGTTTTTAATGCGTCCTACCCGATCCGATGACCTGGAAACCCAAAGTCACTCGCAGAGCTGGCCAGACGCTGCGAGCTGATGGAGAGCCAAAATGGGGGCTCCCCAAAGCCCACGTGTCTGCCTTTTGTATCCACCTGGCTGCTTAACCCCACCCTCAGGTCCCAGCCACCTTCCCTTGGGTGGTGATGGGATTTGGAGTTCCCAGTGTCTTTGGCTTTGACCTGGGGTGGGGGTGGAGTCCACAAAGCCTGTATGGAATTTGCTTTGGGACATCCTTTTCCCCCTAACACTTCTTTGGTCCACCTCTTTCCCTAACACTCTAAATCCTATCTTTTTTTTTTTTTTCTTGTCATCTGCCTTTCTTTTAGGGCTCTATCAGGGAAGAGTTAATTGTTATCATCCTTCTGTTAGGGGGAAAAGGATGTCCTAAAGCAAATTCCATATAGGCTTTGTGGACTCCACCCCCACCCCAGGTCAAAGCCAAAGACACTGGGAACTCCAAATCCCATCACCACCCAAGGGAAGGTGACTGGGACCTGAGGGTGGGGTTAAGCAGCCAGGTGGATACAAAAGGCAGACACGTGGGCTTTGGGGGGGCTCTCCATTTTTGGCTCTCCGCCAGCTAGCAGAGTCCGGCCAGCTCTGCGAGTGACTTTGGGTTTCCAGGTCGTCGGATCGGGTAGGACGCATTAAAGACTTTATTTCCCTATTTTCTCCCTGAGTTGTGTATTTTCCTTATTTCTTTTTCTCTTGTCAATAAACCTTTTATTAACCCCTTTGCGTGTGTCTGTAGTAGAGTTTTCATAAGTCCCTTTAAAGCGCACGGGTGAGGACCCACAGCCAGGAACCCGTTTAATATCGGGGTTGCTCTATAACACTTCAAGGCACAAAATATGTCTGATTCTCTTTGAGGCTTTTGTGAACTGCCAGGATAGTCACTGAGTAATCCTGTCTTCCAACGCTTACAACATATATCGTGTTCATTTGGCATTAACAAATGCCAACTTGTATAATTTAATTAAAGAAATTTTGGTAAGCATTTTATTTTAAAAAACTTTAATTAGACTAGCCTAGCCTGATAACAAATTTACCTACAAAAGTTGAATAAATGGAAAAATTTGTAACTCAAAATTTTAACATTGCATTATAACATGGTTCAGGTGCGCATAGTTAAACATCCACACCTGCATACGCTGCGTAAGTTTACCTGTAAAGTCTATCATCAATATACGATTGATCCCTTTTACCACATTTACCTCTCTTCACACCCCTTCCCTTTTGTCTTTGTGTTGACAGGGGCCCGTAGACGAGTTTTTTCAGTTTTGAGTGACTAATACAGAAAATATATACGAACAGGGATACATTATACAAACCCAAATATTCAAAAAAGCATAGAGTGGAAAAGTAACCGTTTCCTTAAATCCCCAACTGTAACCATCAAACGCTTAATTTCTCCAACTGCAACATTTGTTTGCCACCATACACAAGCCAACGTTTCGCTATTTTAATCTCACTTTAATGCAACGTGTTTTGAGTTAACTCATTTATATGAAACGCCAGCGGCTGGCGGTGTGGGCTTCATCTATCACACCGCTGCTCATTTTGGTTTCTTTTTTGGTAGCGGGTCTTAGCATTTGCCCGACGTTTCCATCGCGGTCGGGAGGCGTAAACACATAAAATTTTAAAAAATCACAAGAGAACTTATGGGACTTCCACGAAAGGAAGCCCCAAGCGTCCCGCGCTCAAGAAGGCGGTGGGCAGGGCCGAGCCCCACACCAGGCGCTCGCCGCAGCCGGGGCCAGCGGCGCGCGCATGCGCCTCCTCCCAGCGGCGCAGGCCGCGGAGCCGTGACGCGCGCGCGCAGCTCCCGACCTACCCCTTAGCGGAGGGGCGGGGCCAAGCTCCCACCCCAATTGGCCGCGGCGACGGGGCCTGGCGCGCGCGCACAAAGGCCTGGATGGGCCGCGGCTTCCGGCGCGCTCCTCGCGGGCGATAGGGGGCGCGGGTCGGCGAAGTCGGCTCTTTCCGGGGCCTGTGTGGCCCGGGTGGCTAGAAGGAAGATGGGGCTAGAAGCCGAGTCTGAGGGGTACCCCTAACCCCTCTGACCGAGGTCCTGCCGCTTTCGCTGCAGGAACCTCCTTCTCAGGACCTAGTGCGTTCGAGCGCCCTGTTGGCCTGGGCCCCGCGAGTGAAATGGTCGCCAGGGTTCACGGCGTCGGGCTTCCGCGCGCCCCGTGAAAGGAACTGGGGAGCCTCGGAGACCCCCCCCAACTCCTGACGCGGAAAACTCCGCTTGGTGAGAAGTAAGTATCGGCCAGGGGGCGCGTGGTGGCTCTGGGGCTGCCGTGCGACGTGGGTGTTCCAGCTCGCGCTGGCCCCCCCGCCTCCGGCCCGCGCGCAGCCTTTGTGCGGGTCGTGGTGGGGGGCCCGGGCGCGCGGGCTCGCGGAGGCTTTGTTGTGAGCGGCGAGCCCGTCGCCGCCCGGGAGGAGGGCGGGGTTTGGGGGCCGGCGTTCCGGAGCTGGGGGTCGGGGGGGGGCTCCGCTCGGGGTAAAGGTCACGGGGGCGGTGGCGCCGCGGGGCGCCGGCCGCCTCAGGCTGGGGTCCCAACCGAGACAGGTGCGTGGGGTGTAGCCAGGCGGAGCTCCGCGCCGAGCCCGGGCGTGAGTGGGCTGGTTCGGTGGGAAGGTTGACTCAGCTTTGTTGCGCTGGTCAAGTTCGGACACGTTCCGAATCCGCCGTAGAAGGAGCTAAGCCCCGACTTGTCTCCAGCTGGGGCTATTTAAACGGCGCCTCTTGCTGGCTGTACACACTGGCCTTGGAGATTCGTGCCTCGAGCACAGACGTGCAGCTCTCCCTCCCGATCCAGGTAAGGAGCCCCTTGTTTATTGGTTTTGCTTTTCAGTAGAGGCATTATTGATGTCCTTTCTACCCGAGTTTGCCTTTTTCACAGATGTTTCAAGTTGTTGTCATGTGTTTTTTTTCCCCCCCCTCTCCTTGTAGGCAAATGTGCAATACCAACATGTCTGTTTCTACCGATGGTGCTGTAAGCACCTCACAGATTCCAGCTTCGGAACAAGAGACCCTGGTTGGTATTTTTGTCTGAAAATACTGTTTGAAAATAAAGTATTCCCATTGGAACGAAATGGTTCTTGAAATGAAATTTTATGTGTCAAGTTTCAGTTCTGCCATTCAGGCATGGGGTAAAGGTTAGCTGTAAGAATCAGTGTTTTCTTAGTCCTTTCACACACTGAATATAAAAGTGAGTTTCATTGCGTTCTTAAACATGGATAATAAAGCTTTGTTTAGTATATGATTGATATTTGTCCCCCCTATTTTGACCTGTTGGTATTTAATTTTTTAAGGAGTTTCTGAAAGTCGGAAATAATTCATGCTTGTTATAAAGATATTAGAAATGTACAAAGTAAAAACTGAAAATATCTTTCAGACATGTCTCCTTTTAAATCTTTTTTCTATGTGCATGCCACTCCCCATGTATATTTGCACATATGAATTTAAATCTGTGTTATTGTCATGCATGTTATTATACAAAAGCAGTGTTAAACTAAGATACTGTAAATAGCATCCTTGACAATAAATCTACAGAATTCTTTTTATTATTTTTCCAGAATTCTTTTTGATGGCTACATAGTGTTCCATAGCATTAGTACACGTTTTAAAAAATTTGTGCCTTTAACTGATTTCTTAAATGCCTTTAGTTTTTGGGTATTAAATATAGTGCTGCTTTTTACATGATCCTTACACAAATGTTATGTGGATATTCATGTAAGAAAAATTTTACAGAAGTAGAATTCCTAGCTGTTCAACTGTACACGCTTATTTCATTATTACTCATAACTTGCTCACCAGAAGATTGTAACCTCTGCCAGCACTGAATATTGCTGGTCTTTGTTATTTTTTTGCCATTTGTGGGAAGAGGGTAAAAGCTACTGTAAATTGTTTATTTCTTCTGGGATTCGCCTTTCCTTACCTGTTGACTTTTCTCTTACATTTATTGTAGTTTGTTAATTTATAGTAGTTCCCTTTGTTTGATGTGAATTTGTCATTTACAAATGTTATATTTAACTTTATGTCGTCTTTTCCCCCATGAGAAAGTTTTTATGAAGTCAGATGTGTTCACTTGTTGGATTTTGAATTTTATATCTTACTTTGAAAGAAATCTCCTATTCCAAGATTATTCAAATAATCCTGTGTTCTAGTATTTTTTATTATTACATCTAGATTTTCTCTAGGATTTTTTCACTTTAGATGTAAGGTTAAGAATGGTATTGTCTTTTATAAGTTTTCTTACTAATGCATGTCTTTTAAGTTTTACTAAGCTGATGGCTTTCCATTATAAGTTTTTAATTTGAATTGTTTTATGTAGTTTGAAATTAATAGAGCATATATAAAATTTTAGGAGAAAGGTAATTTTTTATGTTTTCTGAGGGTTTCTACTTTGAATAACCTGAAAATAACCACGTTGAAAAGTATGATCAGAACAATAACTAAGTGCTACATTTATTGTATATTTTAAAAAATTTCAGTTATTAAATTAACTGTTGATTAGCTGGAAATAGGCAGTTTTCTTAAATCTAGTTTTGAGAGATAGATCCCAAACTGGATGCTGTCAAATTCAAAGTGAAACAAAGGACTGGAGTATATTAAAAGAGGTGCAGAGGTCCCAATCCATTTAGGGGTGTCGGACTGTAAATGTACTTGAGCGTCGATAATTTTTTTTCCGCAACATATAGCACTGTCTGGTGCATGGTAGAAGCTTGGTAAATGTTAGGTAGATACTGAAATACACCAGCCAAGAAGCAGCATGATATTGTAGGAAGAAAATGCTGGATTATAGTTGAGGGAAAGGAGTTGAAGTTTCAAGTCCCTTAATTAATCTTGTCAGTTTGGGCTAGGTAGGTTTTCTAGCTTTCAGGAAAATAACTTGTAGAGAGAAAAGACTGGTAAAAGGACCCACCTAAAGATTTATTCTTTTCTCTTAGAGTCTGTAATTTAGCTAACTGTAAGTTTATTGAAGTATTCCATTTATGGCTGCTTGAGTTTAGCAGGTTGTGGGCAGATGATGGAAATAGCTGGAGAAAAAATTCCCACTGCCTTCGTATGGGTGCTGTTTCTCATTGCAACAGATGATATGTGAGGATTCTTATTATTTGCTTGATAATTAGATTTAGTATTTCCCCCCAGACCTCCTTCACAGTTCGTGATAATCATTTTATATAGTGTATTACATTTAGTAAAACCTTTATGACTTATTTCTTGAGGTCTAACCTTGTGGGGTTTTAAATTTTGTGTCTCTACCTTATTGAAATTTTTTATGGGCATGTTTGCTGTTGGGCTTATAGTTCTGGAATAATTTTTAATGTGTAATACCAATTCTTTGTTCTTTCTAGGTTAGACCAAAGCCATTGCTTCTGAAGTTGTTAAAGTCTGTTGGTGCACAAAAAGACACTTACACTATGAAGGAGGTAAGCTGAACTAGAGGTTAAAGAGATACCTGATGTCTTACGAGTTATATATAGTTGTGGGAGAAAATGGCCATATAGAGGAATTTTCAGTAAGTAGCAGTGTTAAGTATTATGATCACTTAGAGTATAATTTGAAGCTGGAAATTCTAATTATACTTGAATTTCATTTCTCAGCTAGGAGAAATTTGAGATATTTACACTGAACATAGTATGATATGAAAACACTTGTGATATTTGGTGACAAAAACAGGTCTTGCTGGTAAAATGTGATTTGCTGCCTACAATTGTAATTGGAGGACAAGCTAAATTTCAGTTAAAAGTTAGTGAAAATAAAGATAGAAAATCTTTTCCCATACAAGTTAATGGACCCCCTAAATTCTATCCAAGGACTTCTTGGGCATCCATGGATCCCAGGTTAAGAGCTTCTGCATTAGAGGTACATGAGTACAGTATACTGATCTTTCTGGGATAGAGGTGAGCTGATTCATGAACATATGATCTGTTTAATGAATACATTTCAATGTATAATTCTCTAGCTTTAAATTTGGGCACAGAACTATGATTTTCAGTGAGAGATTGGGCCATCTTAGGCAAAATTTCAATATGAATGAAATGTGCCTGTTCCCCATCTCTCCCACTGAGTTTATGGAGTTCCTATTGCTTGAAGTACCAACAAATGTTACCTGTATCAGTATAGTGAGAAGAGATTCCGGACCCTTTTCCTTTTCAGCCACACTTTTATAAACTTCCTTGAGGGATGTTTGGTAGAAGTTTAGGTTCTCTTTCCCCTTTCCCATTACCTGTCAACCATCTTTCCAGTCTGAAGTTATGTAGGAGTATTTCTTTATATCTGAAGCCTGCATAGCCAGTTGAAGTCTACAGAAAGTTGCTTGCAGAAATGTGTTAAGTTAAATGATGTTTTTGGGATTCTTAACTTGAGTTTGATATTTAATATATAATGATGTAAGGAAACTAAATATGTATTTGGTATAAGCAATAAGAAAAGACCATCATGAAGAATAAGAATGCTTATGCTAGATCATAACAGTAATGTATATGTTGTATTATCCAGTTGTAGAATCTTTGTTCTGGGGTTTATAGGAGAGAAATGGAAGCTAATATGGGACAGTAAAAAGAACCTGGCGTTAGGAGTAAGAAAAAAATGGGTCAGTTTCCTTGTTTGTAATCTATGAAAGAGGAATGAAACAATACTTGCAAAAGTATATTATGAACTGTAAAACACCATACATATTTAGGTGGTAGCCAATAGGTTTCTATGTCAATATCTTAAAATGTATTGCTGCCTATTTTATCTTAATAGAGGACACAGAATATAGTTTATATATTCAGGGTCATTATTTTTGTTACTGTTGCACAGATTTTATTTTGATATCTTGGAGGACTGACTTCACATTTACTGAAATCTCCCAAACTGTTGTAAGGATATAATTGGTCAATTTCCTGTCTGTCTTATCTGTAATGACTTCTGAGGCTATTGAGGTAGTGTGGTGTTTGTACTATTTACTAAATGGCTTCAGGTCACTGTGATATTTATGTTTTTGATTCTGCTGCTTTTTATTGCTATCATTGGTTTTGCATTTTGCTGCTTTTTCTCTCTAATACCTCGATATTAGCAGCATTAAATCTTCAGGAAAAAAGACATTTTAAAATTTATTCAAGTAAGTTGGAGAAGCAGTGTCTTTTCTTCAATCAAATTAAAAGGAAAATATTTAAAAGCAACTTTTTTTAAGAGTGTTGAATGGTTATCCTAGATGGTCATGGATGTAGGTGCTCTTTAGATAAATGACATCATTGAATGTATTTGAAACTAACAATAAATTTTAATTAATCATCAGAAATCATATTTCTATTTCAGGTTCTATTTTATCTTGGCCAGTATATTATGGCTAAAAGATTATATGATGAGAAACAACAGCATATTGTGTATTGTTCAAATGATCTTCTAGGAGATTTGTTTGGAGTACCAAGCTTCTCTGTGAAGGAACACAGGTAAGTTCTTCAGTTTTGGCCATTGTAAAAAGCCATTGGGTAGCAGTATAGCATATTGCTTGGGAATTTGAGCTCTGGAATCTTACAAACCTGAGTTTGAGACCTACCTAAGTCATTTACTAGTTGCGTGACCTAGATAAGTTAATTTACCCACTCTAAACCTTAGTTTCCCCAGTTTGTAAACTAGGAATAATATAAATATGTGGTTGGAGGTTATGATGATACAGTGTATGAAGAACATGTGTTTGGCATTGAGAAAGCATTCATGTGTTAGCTACAGTTACTGCGTATTAAAAAATAATATTATTGCATCCACTTTCAAAGCAGTCTTTATACCACCATGTGGTAAAGGCTTAATTTGAGCCTTAGGTACGTTAGTGATAATTTCCGCTCTCAAATACCATGATGGCGCTTAATCAGTTGAATTTAACCCAGATAACATTTGTAGAATTCTTCTACTGGTAACTGAAGAATGTTTTTTCCAGTCATTCTTATATTTGGAATTCTTTGTCCCATTTGGTTTAGCACAGTGTGGAATCATGCATGTATATCTTAATAAATGGAGTGAATACCTTATACTTGAAACAGTTAACTAGGTTCTACTAGTATGTAATTGATCAAGAAGATTATAAAAAAGATGGTAATAAAATGGTATGTTTACAACTTGAAAACAGCTTCGTTATTTTATACATTCATTACTGAATATTGGGAAAAGACAGAAAGCTTGGAAAATAGGGAAAAAAATGACTAATTTGTCATCAAAAGGTAGTTTACCAGTCCTTTTCATGTGCCTGTTTTAACCAAGGTGTGAAAATACCACATTTGATTTTTGTCTTGCTTAATTTAATATTATAAGCATATTTCCATGGACAAACCACTTTTGTCTAATTTTTTTTTAATCTATATTTTTTTAAAGATTTACTTATGCATGCAAAAACTGGGGGTGTAGGCCAGAGGTTTGGGGAGTGAGAGCATTCACCAGGGACAGAGTAGGGCGCAGAATGGGTAGATCTACTGAAATACACTGCTGAGGGGAGCAGCAGGTGAGACAGGAGAGGTCTGCTGCACGATGTGAGTCAGCTCCTTGGCCTGGGAGCAAACTCATGCCGCAGTGGCTGGTGATAGCTTGATAATGAGACTTTAACCCCTGCGCCACCAAATAGGCCCCACTTCTATCTGGTATTTATGTGATTTTATACCTGACGTTGAGATATAAGCTCTACATTTGTAAATTTAAGAAATAACTATATTAGTCATCTCGTAGCATTTGAGTATTGACTTTTCTGGTAATGTTTAGATGTGTAGTTCCTGATATTGAAAACTTTAATTCTAATATTTTGGTGGGAACATTAAAAATGATGTCTTGTGACCAGTAAATATTTCCTGAAATTGTTAAAAAGAAGGAAAAATGTACCATGATATCAATAACTGTTGCAATAAATGAATTGGCTTTCCGTTAGGTTATAAGCTCCAGGAGGGCAGAGATTTACTTCATTTTTTTCTTTTCTCCAGGTTCTAGAACAGTGCCTGGCACTGTTCAGTCTGTATTTATTTAATGGATGAAAACAGCTTTCTAATGTTTAAGATTAAGAAAGAGAATCCACTACATGAGTGATTTCTAGCACAGAGCTAGAAAATTTCTGCTTGACAGTAATCTGTGTCCTGCACTCACACTCTCTGGAGTGTTTTTGTAAAGTACAAACAAGGCACATTCTGGGAAATAGAGATGTGAAATCTTTTCAGCTAAGAGAGCCCTTGGTGTTTATTAAAAACTGTTGTATGTAATTGTTGTGATTGGTGCTTTTTAGGTCCTAGACACTTGCCAGTGACGTAAATTAAATGCAATAATTTAAAATTCAGTTTACGTGTAGTAGATCATATGCGTTTAAAAGTCCAGTTCAATATGTTTTTAAAATGTACATTTGTTTTTTTCCCCCTTCCTACCAGGAAAATATATACAATGATCTACAGAAACTTGGTAGTTGTCAATCAGCAGGGTAAGATAATTTTGAATACCATAAATATATACTGTAAAAATATTTTAAAGCTATTTTGTGTATATGCTGTCATTCTGAAATTGTCTCTTTAAAAGTTGCTTTAATTTTAGTGAACGAGAATGACGAATTTAAGAGGAAGAAATACGCATCACCTAAAATAACATGATACTAAAGTTGTAATATAGATTTGTGATAATGTAATTAAATATTGTGTTACCCATCAATTTAAGCCTTGGTATATCAGAATTAGAATTTGTTTTGAAAGGTTGATATTTAAAAGGTGTTGCATATTACACCTTGAAATATGTACTGAAAGGCTTTAGGAACTAAGGTGAATTCCATTTGAGTTAGGTAGGACTGTTTGAAAGGATGGATAATGGACAAAACTTTGTTTAATAATATGTGAGTAAGTGACATTTTACTTCCCTACCTCTAGACGTGTGGTTCTCAGCTGGGTATTTTGGGGTTGCATATCCCTTTGATAATCTGATAAAAGCACTGAGTTCTTCCAAAAAGAAACACATAAATATGCAGTGATAAGCTGGTAAATATTTAACAGCCACTCTCAGGGAAAAGCCCTTATTTGTAGTGGTTGTTAATGTCAGTTGTATAAATAGCTCCTACTATGGCCATTTCCAAGCTACAAGCATGGAGTTGGGAAGAGATATATACAGTCTGCTTGTGAATACTGTTAGATGTTGGCTCCAATATGCTAGACTTTTTAAAGCACTTTACACATATTAGCCTACTGAATTTTCACTTTTTTGTTTCCTATTAGAACCATCAGATTCAGGCACACCTGTGAGTGAAAACCGGTGTCATCTTGAAGGTGGAAGTGATCAAAAGGTATCACTTTGAAATAAACTCAAACCCATTCTGTTAGATTTCTTGAAAATTGGAAAGGGTATTTCAAACAAAGATTCTTTTTTTTAATTTCCCTGATGTTAAGTTTGTGGGTTTTTCCCCCTTAATGCTTAGGACTTTGTGCAAGAGCTACAGGAAGAGAAACCTTCGTCTTCAGATTTGGTTTCTAGACCATCTACCTCATCTAGAAGGAGAACAATTAGCGAGACAGGTATATGTGAATATTTAATTTGCACTTTAAAATAACTTTTTTAGTGTTCATTCTCTAATGAAATGAATTCATTGAGGATCAGTAAAATTGTGCTTTTTTTAGTTTAAATGGATTTCAGTTTCATTATTTTATAAAATACACTTGGCTTAAAAATTGTTTTCTTTAGCAACATTTTTGTGGTTGATTACAATAGACACAGTTTACTGTGCCTCGTTGGAGTTGATCATTAGTGAGCTCTCTTTTTATTCAAGACAATAGAGGACAAGGATATAAACTGTTTTAATCATTATTTTTAGTCACCTTGGCAGTCATCTTTTACAGACAAAAGATAACGGAGGACGATACTGTTGCCTGATGAGAAAAAGTCATAACTTTAAACTGATTCAGGAGAGACTTCATCAGATTAGTGATGTAGAATGGATAAACCCAGACTAGAACTTGAACATAAGGGCAGCAAGAGCAGGGGTTCTCTTATTAAATACCTGGTACTGGTATAAATGGGTATTTGGGGGAAAAGATCATTATATTTGTACCTTATGCCCAAATGAATTGCAAAGGAAGTAATGAAGTAATTTCAATACATTTGAAAAATACTTGGACAGTAAGTCAGAATATTAAAAATCCAAATAACATAGAACAAAAAGTTCAGAAGTTTTTCATAGGAAGTGCAAACTAACATATATGAAGTGATTTTACAGATACTAAAATAGGCCAAAAGTTATTTTTTTCTGGTCTATCATATTAACAAAGATAAATTTTTTTACTCATTCTTGCTAACCTGTTTGTTGGCACTTAATATATTAATTGGGATACATGGTTAAATCTTTGTGGATTATAAAAGAGTTGGAATTTCTACCATTATCCTAGTAACACCACTTCTAGGAAGCTGTCCTAGGGATATTAAGCAGAAACTCAAAGATGATATGTATCGATATTATGTATAGGATTACTTAATCACTAGGAGGTATGAAACTTTTTTCATATGCTTCTAATCATTTGTATTATATGAATTACCTTTTTATTCTTTGACTTTTTTCCCACTCAAGTGTGTCTTTTACTTGATTGTGGTAGGGCTTTGTATAAAATAGATATTAACCGTCTTCTACTACATATGTTATTTTCTCCTAGTCTGACATTTACCTTTTAAGTTTTTTTTTTTTTTTAAGAGGCATGTATTTTTTTTTATTTATTTATTTGTTTGTTTGTTTGTACATGCACTGGGTATAGTCAGAAACGTGGGAGGGTGAGAGAATTCACCAGAGCCAGAGCGGGGAACAGAGCAGGCAGAAGGACCAAAGTACACTGCTGAGGGGAGCAGCGGGCAGCAGGAGAGGTCTGCGCGCCATGTGGGACCCTCCTCTGGTGGCTGGGGAGCAGCCGGGGATCGAACCGGCGCCGCAGAGGCCGCGGGCAGCCTCGCAACCCAGCGCTCAACCGCTGCGCCACCGGGGAGGCCCTACCTTTTAAGTTTTATGGTATTTTGTTTTCTTGTAAATTTAATTAACATAGTCTAATTGTGATTGTCTTTTTTCTTGAAGATTTCACAGTGTCATATCATACTTAATCACCCGGTATTATAAGAATATTCTTTTAAAAGTGCTTGAATGGTTCTTTTTTGTGTGTGTGTTCTGTAATCCATTTAGAATATATTTTGATGTCTGATACAAGATAGGACTCTCATCTTCCTGAGAGATGTGGTAATCTAACTTTAAGTCAGAGATAACTTAATGTAAAATGAAGTGGATTGTTTTCAACAGTTTGGATTTCTGTTGAAAATACAGGGTACTGAGGAAATTGTGACTTAATGGAGATGAAGTTCTACAAGCTTAAAAACCTTAAAGAAATACAGTGATCTGCTCTACCATTCAGTTGGACAAATCTATTTAAACTGCTAACTTTTGAAATGAGTAATTCAGTATTTTTCTGTTTAATTTCATTGAAATTAAATTTTAGTACAAATAGAAACTCGACAGTTAAATTTTAAAATAAATCACAAAATAGCAATCAATGTAATTATTCTGTTTTCCCTTACATGTCCAGAAGAAAATTCAGATGAATTAACTGGTGAACGACAACGAAAACGCCACAAATCTGATAGTATTTCCCTTTCTTTTGATGAAAGCCTTGCTTTGTGTGTGATAAGGGAGATATGTTGTGAAAGAAGCAGCAGCAGTGAATCGACAGGGACTCCATCAAATCCGGTAATTTTCTTGTTTTAAATGAAACAGTGCTCTTATTTTAAAGATCTGGTTTTGGCAGTTCTAATAAACATTCAAGTAGAATGCACATATGAGATACGTGATTGCTAATATACACAAGTGGTCCATTTTTCTTTCAAATAAAACTATATAGATCTTCCCTACTCTCCATCTCAGGCTTGAGAAGGGTAAAAAAAATAGTGGAATTGGGGGGGGGTGTATATTGAAAAAAAGTTGTTTTTTTTTTTTTTAAAGATTTATTTATGCATACAAGAACTGGGGTGTAGGCCAGAGGTGCGGGGGTTGAGAGGATTCACCAGAGACAGAGTGAGGAGCAGAGCAGACTGATCTACTGAAATATACTGTTTAGGGGAGCAGCAGGCAAGAGAAGAGAGGTCTGCTGCACCATGTGTGGCATAGAACTCGTGCTGCAGTGGCTAGTGATAGCTTGATAGCGCTGAGACTTAGGGCCACCAGGGAGGCCCTGGAAAAAATTTTTAACTATTAATAGTAATGTCACCCTACTACATATTGGAGAATCTTTGGGCCATTGCACCAATAGTAAATTAAAATAAACTGGAGTTTACAGTAGTCTGAGAATTCAAATTTAAAAGTTTACTTTTAAGGGCCTCCCTGGTGTTGCAAGGGGTTAAGATCTGCACTGTGAAGCAATCTGCAGCCTCTGCAGCACGAGTTCGATCCCCAGCCAGCCAGAGAGAAACCCACATGGCACAGCAGACCTCTCCTGTCTCGCCTGCTTCTCCCCTCAGCAGTGTACTTGGTCATTCCGCCTGTTCTGTTCCCCACTCTGTCTCTGGTGAATCCGCTCACCCTCTGCATCTCTGGCCTATACCCCAGCTCTTATATGCATAAATAAATAAATCTTTAAAAAATAAAATAAAAGTTTACTTTTAAGAAAATACAGGAACAGGGCCTCCCCTGGTAGTGCAGCACTTGAGCGCTGGGCTGTGAGGCTGCCCTCAGCGTGTGCCACGCCAGTTCAATCCCTGGCTGCTGGGGAGGGTCCCACCTGGCACGCAGGCCTCTCCTGCCACGCCCACTGCTCCCCTCAGCAGTGTATTTCGTCAGTCTGCCTGTTCTGTTCCCTGCTCTGGCTCTGGTGGGTTCTCTCGCCCTCCTGCGCTTCTGACTGTACCCAGTGTTTGTATGAATGAATGAATGAATGAATGAATGAATGAATGAATGAATGAATAAATAAATAAATAAATAGAAAATGCAGGGACAGAAATGAAAATTGGTTAAGTTAGGTATCTTAGATTTCTAAGGCAAATTTATCTTGAATATTTAAAGTGAAAAAACCATTTTTTCATTATAGGTATCAGTAAGTGAGCATAATCTCAGCTTCAGATTTACTGAATATAGGTGTAGATATGAGGGAAGATCTGCTTACTGATTGCACAGATGATGAGAGAGTGTCAGTATTTTTTGATTATTGATACAAAATTCCAAAGTGTTAGCCAGAAGTAAAATTGTTGGGATGTCACTGAAAGAAGTTTGGTAAAACTTTTTGTTAACAAGAATGCTTGACAGATGGAGTATTTTCTTGTCACTAAACACTTTTCTTTAAAATGTTATAAAATTTGGGGCCTCCCCGGTGGCGCAGCGGTTGAGCGCTGGGCTGGGAAGCTTCCCGCAGCCTCTGCAGCACCGGTTCGATTCCCGGCTGCTCCCCGGCCACCGGAGGAGGGTCCCGCATGGCGCGCAGACCTCTCCTGCCGCCCGCTGCTCCCCTCAGCAGTGTCCTTCGGTCCTTCTGCCTGCTCTGCTCCCCGCTCTGGCTCTGGTGAATCCTGTCACCCTCCTGCGCTTCTGACTGTACCCAGTGCTTGTATAAATAAATAAAATAAATCAAAAGAGAGAGAGAGAGAAATCTACCCGCTATTCTTTAAAAAAAAAAAAAAAAAAAAAAAAAAAATAAAATGTTATTAAATTTGGAATCTTATTTGTGATGACAGCAGTGTCTCAGGGTCATTCTGAATGTTAGGGATCACTTTATATATATAGGTGTGTGGGGCTGAACTGATTGTGATAGTACATTTTTCTCTTGCAAAGCAGTGATTTCATGGATACAGATGTTACCACTAGGGTTAGTATTTAATACAGCTGTTACCTGTGTAAGCCACTAGATGGCTTGGTGAGTTCCTCTTAGAGCAGATTCTTCAGTCAGTAGACAATTGTCTGCCAGGTTCCATTTGGCACTGGAGATATAGTGGTAATAAAGATAGGCACAGTCCAGTCCTCATGGAGAGATAGATCATCAACAATTAATTAAAATTTTAATTAATGCTATAAAAATATATAAATGATCTGAAATTTGAATCCAATTAAAACTTGATGTGTACTCAGATTTTATGTTTGGATAATTTTATTGCTTACAGATGGTTTAAGTAAAATTTCCCATTAAACTTAGTCTTTTGTTAAAGTTATTTCAGAATTCTAGCTGAAACAAGATATTAAAAGATATTTAAACTCTTCATTCTTGGTTTCTACCTGGGACACTACCTTTTTGGAAGCAACATTAAGGGCATTTTTTTCTTATTGTTTGTCCTATACTTCTAAAAATCCTGTCTATTAAAGTCTGTTGTTCTTCAAACAAGGGATCAAAAGACGAAAATAGCAGGCAAACTATAAATCGGAGCCATTCAGCTGGGGAGGGGGAAGGAGATGGCGAGGGATCAAAACCTGGGAAGGGAGAGCTCAAGAGACTGATGATGATTCACGGGTGTCTCGGTGGTAGTAATTTTATGAGGATTACACACTTGAAAAGAGAATGAATGATGATGTAAAAAGTATATAAATTAAAAAAAAATCTTTTGTTCTTCAGGCTAAGTCCCTAGTTGTGAAAACTTTCTGTCGGGCCAATTTTTTTCCCCCTTCATTTTAGCTTGCCTCATATAAGAATGCTGTGGTTATCATTTGATGTCCACATCAAATGTTTGTGAAGATAATTTAAAGGGAAGTGTACTTGCTGTCCATCTTCCTTTTGAGTTTTAATAAATTGGAGAACTAAGTTCTAGGCTTGATGCTAGGAAGTTTATCTCAGGTGGGAAACGTGTTTGCAGGAGGGAACTTGATTTCTAAATGGGAAAACAAGGATTTGGGTTTGAAGTAAGTTTAAGATCCGGTAAACTGATGATTGTCACAATGGGAATTCAGGGGAAAAAAGGTTTTATTTTTTTTTAACATCAGAATTTAAGATCTTTCCAGACCAAACCTGTCAAGTGCTTTTAAAATATATACGTTTAAACGTTTCTGCATCATTCTCTTTTGAACTTTAACTAATTTTTTAAAAACAATTTAATAACTTTCTTCATAGTCCCCTTAGTGGGCAAGCTGTATCTGAGAAGGATTGGATAGTAACTATTTTGGCGATGCATGCCATAAGGTTCCTGTTGTAATTACTGAACTCTACTGCTGTAAGGCAGAAGCAGCTATACATGACAGGTTAACAATTGGGCATGGATGTGTTCAGTGGAACCGAAATAAGTGTGTAATGCACCATAGAAGATGCTTTTCTGCGACTTCATTTTTCTAGTGATTTACCTCATTCAAAATTTGTGCATGAGGAGTTAGTTCATTGAGATATCCATTTTATTTACTTTTTTAGAGATGTTATTCTAGTTTGACTGGTGATTTCAACCTGAGAAATTGAGTCCTTGGTAGGAATTAGAATTGCTTTAATTTGATAAATGTTACGTTTACTGCTTCGATCTTTATATATAAACTATTACATATGATGGAAGTTTTAGATATTATTTAATCTATACTTCTTTCATAGTTATGAAGCATTGTGGCCTTCACCAGTTAAATATTCAAGGTTAAAAAGTCATTTAGTGGCAAATCAAGAATAAGAATGTGTATGTTGACTTCTAAACTAGAGTGCTTTTTCTAGTTCTAGACTTCTAATTTTGTACATGTCCCTACCCTTAGCCACCGACAGCAAATGAAGTCCTAAAATGAGAAAATTTTTTTAAGGATTTATTTATGCATATAAGAGCTGGGGTACAGGCCAGAGATGTGGGGAATGAGAGGATTCACTAGAGACTGAGTGGGGAGCACAACAGACAGATGTACTGAAATACACTGCTGAGGGGAGCAGCGGGCGAGGCAGGAGAGGTCTGCTGCACCATGTGGGTCACCTCCCGGGCTGGGGATAGCTTCATAGTTCTGCGTCTTAACCACTTGCGCCACCAGGGAGGCCCCTAAAATGAGAAATTATATGAGCAGACACAGAATTGTAAAAGGAAAAAAAAATTGAAAGGTTGTCCAAAGAAATTATTCTCAGTGTTCTTCGAAAAACATAAATCTTATAATTATTGTATTCATTGTGGCTACTATTAGTCCACCAGTCTCAAGATACAAAGATGATATGGTCTTGATGCTTAAATTGTGTATATTCAGATAAAAAGTGTACATTCAAAATTATGTTTTGCATTATTTATGTTGAAAATATATACTCAGTGGTGTCAGAAAGATAATTAAAGTTGGAAAAGCTCTTTTAGTTACCATATGGGCAAAAGCCTTGTCAAAAAGGGCTGCACAGGTCTCACTCATAGCAGGAATCTAGAAAACTTAAATAAGGGACCAGGAAAATGAATATAAGAAAGTGAAAATCAAAATCAACAAAAAACTATGAACCAGAGACACTTTTTGGGGGGTGGGGGGCGGGAGGGGAAGGATTGGGGTCAGAATGGGGCGTTTGCAATTGTATGGGGGAATATAAAAATAAAATTTAATATTTAAAAAAAAAAAAAAAAAAAAAAGGGCTGCACAGGACTTAAAACTGTCAAGTTATTCCAGGTAGAGTGGAAAGGTGTAGAAATTGACCTGTGAAGTTTGGTGTAGGAAACAGTCTAGATTTGGCTGGTTGTTCATGTTTAGTGGAGGGGAGTGAGTATTTAGTTGGAGATAAGATGAAAATGTTAATTCAGTTGTATGTACTTGAATGCCAAGGTCATTTCAGCATTTTTCCTTTATGTAATACAGTTTTGAACAGGGAAAATAATGTAATAAAAAAGAATCTTAATCCAGTATCTGTGTGCAGGGTGGATCTGAGGAGGGAAGTACAAGCACAGATGAGAGTCAGGAAGCTATTATGGAGGCCAACAGGCAATACAAAGTAGCTTTTTTTTTTTTTTTTTTAAGATTTATTTATTTATACAAGAACCGGGGTACAGGCCAGATGTACAGAAGGGTGCGAGGATTCCCCAGAGACAGAGCGTGGAACAGAATGGGCAGACTGATGAAATACACAGCTGAGGGGAGCAGCGGGTGCGACAGGGAGAGGTCTGCTGCGCCATGTGGGTTTCTCTCTGGCCAGCCAGGATCTAACCTGCGCTGCAGGCTGCGGACAGCTTCACAGTGCAGCGTTCAACTGCCTATGCCGCCAGGGAGGCCCTAAAGTGGCATTTTTGTTTCTTCTGATTTTAGGATCTTGATGCTGGTGTAAGTGAACATTCAGGCGATTGGTTGGATCAAGATTCTGGCTCAGATCAATTCAGTGTAGAATTTGAAGTTGAGTCCTTGGATTCAGAAGATTATAGCCTTAATGAAGAAGGACAAGAACTCTCCGATGAAGATGATGAGGTAGTGTTTTTTTCCTTAATTCTGAAGTTGGTAAATACCTTCTAAATTATTGATTGGTGAGATAGAAATGCATTCAGACTTTACTTGAAATCTTTGCTTCTTCATTTGTTTAAACTAGAATAATGTTTTGTGGACTTGAGGCTTTTCCTTATTTATCTTAAAACTGCTTATGCCAAGAAGTCAGTAGACCTTAATGAGAATTCTTAGTCTACTCAACAAATACTTAATTAAATTTTCATCTTTTAATATTAACTAACTTTTCATAAAAGTCAGATATACTTGAAATTAACACATAATATCTCGAATGTGTTACCTGGAGGTTACTACCTTCAGCACTTTGTTTCAGTTTTATTTGATATTTCCATATTTATAAAATAAAAATGTTTGGGCTAAATTTTTGGCTTTATTCATTTTAAATACTTTTCTGTTGAATTGTTACAGTGAATAAGGTTTTCATTTTTTCCTTCCCCTTTACATTCATTCCATGAATTGATGCTAATGGATTTATTTTATTAGGTATATCGTGTTACTGTGTATCAGACAGGGGAGAGTGATACAGATTCATTTGAAGATCCTGAAATTTCATTAGCTGTAAGTATACGTTTACATTTTTAAGAAATTGAAAATGTCTTTGAGGTCAAGATTAGAAAAATGAGATGAGGTAATTTTATAAAGCTAAAATAATTTTTAAATTTTTTTTAAGATTTATTTATTTATGCATACAAAAACTGGGGTACAGACCAGAGTGTGGGAGGGTGAGAGGATTCACCAGAGACAGAGTGGGGAACAAAACAGGCAGATCCACTGATACACTGCTAGCCCGTGATCGAACTCATGCTGCAGTAGCTGCCGATAGCTTGATAGCACTGAGACTTTAATTCCTGTGCCACCAGAGAGGCCCCTAGAATTTCAGCTTTAAAAGAACTTTATTATGGAAAACTTCGAAGTATGTACAGTACAGAATAGTCTGTGTATATATCTGTGGTATCTTTAGATAATGTGGTAAGATTTGCCATTAAAGAAGTACTTAAACTTTTACATTTCATGCTTTACTGGGTTTCCAAGGTATTAGGTTTTTTTTTTTTAATTGTTGCTTTAACTTTTGTTCTGAATGTTGTCTTTTATTATATTTGAATAGGAAATCTCATTTTTTGGTCTGAATTAGAAACTGTTATTTAAACGCAAATCCGAAGGTGAAATTGTAACATTGTCAAAATTTTTTTTTGCTCTGTTAGAAAATAATCCTGTTGACTCATTTGGTTACGAGAAATGTTTCAGACATAGCTCTTGCACTTTATTGAACTCTTTGAAACACCGCCCCCCCCCCACCCGTCCTCACTATCACAAGATCTTTATCTTGGGAGCAGAAGAAAGGATAAACAACTAAGGAACATATGTTTTAGATAGTGAAAGGGACAGTAATTTTTTTTTTTTTTTTAAATTTCTAGAGGCATGTCTTATTTATTTATTTATTATTTATTTGTTTGTTTGGTTTATACACGCACTGGGTACAGTCAGAAGCGCGGGAGGGTGAGAGAATTCACCAGAGTCAGAGCGGGGAGCAGAGCAGGCAGAAGGACCGAAGGACACTGCTGAGGGGAGCAGCGGGCGGCAGGAGAGGTCTGCGCACCATGTGGGACCCTCCTCCGGTGGCTGGGGAGCAGCCGGGGATCGAACCGGCTGCAGAGGCTGCAGGCAGCTTCGCAACCCAGTGCTCAACCGCTGCGCCACCGGGGAGGCCCAGGGACAGTAATTTTTAATTGGCATTGATGGCTAAGAATGTTTTTGTCATTCCTTTGTGGATGAGCTTAGGGAACACTGAATCCATCCCTGGTTTTAGAGTACTGACGAGGGAGTCTTAGTGGTAGATTGAGCAGTATTGTCTAGCTTGATTGGGTGGACATTGGCTACAATATACAAGGGTGAACCTTAAAAGGAAGTAAAGTACAGAATAAAAGATCCCATAGCACTTGCTTCCGCTAAATGAACAAACTGTATCTGTGAATACATGTTTGTATATGATTTGACTGGAAAAAAAAAAAGTACTAACAATCTCATATTTGAGGAAAGACTGACATGTTGAATATTTTATGTAAAGCATGAAATTCTGAAAATTGAGCTGTGTGATGATAAATTTACTTTTTACATACCTTTACATTTTACATACATTTACCTTAGGCTAGCATTACTCTAATTAGTTAATAAAGATTTATGGAAACTGTCTTATTTCATTGAAGGACTACTGGAAGTGTACTTCGTGCAATGAAATGAATCCTCCCCTTCCACCACATTGCAATAGATGTTGGGCCCTTCGTGAGAATTGGCTTCCTGAAGATAAAGGAAAAGAAAAAGGGAGCATGCCTGAGAAAGCCAAACTAGAAAACTCAACACAACTAGAAGAGGGCTTTGATGTTCCTGACTGTAAAAAACCTACAGTGAATGATTCCAAAGAATCCTGTGTTGAGGAAAATGATGATAAAATCACACAAGCCTCTCAATCGCAAGAAAGTGAAGACTATTCTCAGCCATCAACTTCTAATAGCGTTATTTTTAGCAGCCAAGAAGAGGTCAAAGAATTAGAGAGGGAAGAAACACAAGACAAAGAAGAAAGTATGGAATCTAGTTTTCCCCTTAATGCCATTGAACCTTGTGTGATATGCCAGGGTCGACCTAAAAATGGTTGCATTGTCCATGGCAAAACAGGACATCTTATGGCGTGCTTTACATGTGCCAAGAAGCTAAAGAAAAGAAATAAGCCCTGCCCTGTATGTAGACAACCAATTCAAATGATTGTGCTAACTTATTTTCCTTAGTAGTTGAGCTGTCCATAAAAGTTGAATTATATATTTCTAACTATATAACCTAAAAATTTAGACATGAAATTTTTTATTTTTTCATCTATTTGAGTGAGACAGTATCTCCATGTAGATATCTTTTCTGTATTAAAATTTACCTAGTTTGGGAGGACAATGGAATAGTTAGTTACGTTTAGGAAAACTACATTTCTTCTTTATATTTTATAATTAATTTAATTAGAATTGGATATATATCTCATCCTTTACTCCATCCCTCATTTTAAATCATTTCCACTTCCTCTTAAATGGGGAGTATCTGATCTTTTTAAAAAATAAAGTGGTGCATTGAAACATAACTTAGTATCTTTTTGTGAAAGGAGAAGAAATTTGTATGGAAGATGTAATACTTACATTTTAGATACTTTTAACTTCCAATTCCTAGTTTATCTTTTTCAGAACCTCTTAAAATATTTCCACTTAAAAAGAAATTGTTAAATTTGGTACCATGTAAATAAAAATGCACTTCTCATTCTCCATTTCTTCTCAGTATAGTAAGAGCTAGGTGGTCATGATGTCAGATGAGAAGTCTTGAGAATAACCTTCATTTATCAGCAAGACAATACTTTTTAAGAGCCTCACTAGAAGAATATGGAATTATTCTAGAGGTCTAGTCTGTATATTAGGCGCTTTCCACACTTAATTTAGTGAAATCTATTGTTTTCCCTCTTTTGGAAAGCGATTTTTATTTTTTTAGGTAATATTGGTTTACCTCAGTATACATAATGCAGAGGTAAAAAAACAATTCTCAGACACTTTGACATACCTTCTTGGACTGGGTTGGTTACCTGGTTCTTGGTACTTACATGAGTATCAGACCTTTGTTTAAGGCCAGTTTTAAAAATCCTTTAATTCACAAAAACTAATTCAGAAATTTAATAATAGGGACTGTTCATTTTTAAACTAGCAGGAAATTTGTAACTTCTCTAAATTGGGCAGAAATTATATGTCATTTCAAGAATGAAGAGATCAGGACATAGGATTTTGAAATATCTCAGACTGCATAGATTCACATCTTGATTTATTACATAAATATGAATCTTAAGAAGAACCACTTTGATTAGAGGTCCTGGTGTTTTTCTCCTATATGACAGATGTACATACTGAGATGCAGACACTGCTCGCTTCGGCAGCACATGTACTAAAATTGAGATGCGGACAGTAAGCTCATCTATTAAGTTTGTAGTAAAACTGGAATAATTTTGCACAAACTTGTGTGTGCTGGTTACAAACAGTGCATTGTGTTAAACTTTAAAAAAACAAATACCATAGACATACTTGATTTACCCAAATGGCTGAAGGAATCAGTACCTTAGCTACAAAATGATCCTCAAAAACATTAAAGCTTTATTAATTTGGGATTTATAATACTAGGACTAAATAGAATTGGTCCTTTGTGAGAAGGAAAGGTTAAATGTATGCAAATAGATAACATGTAGCATCCCTGTGCTCTCTATATATTACTAATATAGTCTTATTGTCTGAATTTTTAGGATTAGTATATATGTTATTTATTGATAAATAAACAATTTATTAAATGGGCGACTAATTGTTTTAAGAATGTGGTTATTAGCTCTTACACTTCTTCCATAATGTAATGAGTTTTGTTAAAATAGAAATTGTATTTGGTTTTTTTGTTTCTGTTTTTTTTTTTTAAATAGAAATTATGTTTGAATGTCATCTTTTTTGGGTAATCAAAGGTGCAAGTCTGAATGTGTTTTATTGGAAAGGCCATGCCTATCCAGTCATCCCTAGTTATCTATGGGGGTGGGGTGGGCTTGGTTTCAGAAAACCTCCCCCAACCCCATAGCAAAATTCTTTGATGTTCAAGTCCTGTATATAAAAATGACATCATATTTTCATATAAGCCTTTATACATTCTCATATACTTTAAATCGTCTCTAGATTGCTTATACTACTTGATGCAATGTAAATGCTGTGTAAATAGTTATCATGTGGTATTGTTTAGGGAATAATCACAAAAGAGTCTATACCTGCAACATTAGTAGGCCTAACTATATAGTGGTTTTTTGATTCATGGTTGAATCAATGCCTGTGGAACCCACAGACTTGTCGGCTTGACTGTACGCATATCAGTGGGCAACTTGATGCAATTGGGAGCCTTCAAAGCATTGAATAACACCGCCTTGAGAGAGTAATTTTACATTTTAGTAGGGGTGGGAAATGCTAGTTTCTCCTTAACCTTGTTCATTTATGTTTAGGATATAGCAGAATGACTTGAGTAGTTCTCAGCAAGTGATAGTGAAAAGTCTGGAAGGAATGTAGCCAGGGCACTTGTCAGCATGAAGAACCCTATTGTAATTGCCTATTTATTTCTCTTTGTTATCTGTGAAGCTAAATTCTATGAGGACCTCTTAATTGTAATACACATAAATAGGAGCTCAATAGAACGAATCAAAGCATTGGGACTGAATCTTGAAGCTCTCTTTAAAGCAAAGACCTCTGTGCCCCAAGCCAGATAAGGATTCACTGGTTTCGCTTAGATTTTATTTTAACAGGCATTTTATTTTATTTATTTTATTTTTTTTAATGTAGAGGCATGTTTTTTTATTTATTTATTTGTTTGTTTTTGTTTATACATGCACTGGGTACAGTCAGAAGTGCGGGAGGGTGAGAGGATTCACCAGAGCCAGAGCGGGGAGCAGAGCAGGCAGAAGGACCAAAGTACACTGCTGAGGGGAGCAGCGGGCGGCAGGAGAGGTCTGCGCGCCATGTGGGACCCCCCTCAGATGGCCGGGGAGCAGCCGGGGATCGAACCGGCGCCACAGAGGCCGTGGGCAGCTTCGCAACCCAGTGCTCAACCGCTGCGCCACCGGGGAGGCCCTTAACAGGCATTTTAAAGGTATTGATTTGTGTTTAGGTTTGAAGGCTGGTGATAACTGCAAGTTGTCATGGCACTGTGTTGTGAAGCATTTGTAGTTGCACTTTCTGGCATGGATTGCGTTTTTTGATTCATGGTTGAATCTATGCATGTGGAACCCACATTGGACTCGGAGCTGGGTTTTGATTTAGTTCTTACAAAAGAGTACTTAACTCAGCTTAAAAAAGAAAAATTGTTTAAAGTTTGTGGCTGTCAAAAATCTGCAAAGAGCTGATGAGACTCAACAACAACAAAGAAAATAATCCAGTCAAAAAATGGGCAGAAGAGCTAAAAAGAAACTTCTCTGAAGAGGAAATGCAAATGGCCAACAGGCATATGAAAAAATGTGCAACATCACTTGTAATCAGGGAAATGCAAATCAAAACTACCATGAGATACCATCTTACACCAGTGAGAATGGCACATATTAAAAAAACTAGCAACACCAAATGTTGGCGAGGGTGTGGAGAAAAAGGAACTCTTCTGCACTGTTGGTGGGAGTGCAAACTGGTCCAACCACTGTGGAGAGCTGTGTGGAGATTTCTGGACCTACTAAACATAGAGCTTCCATATGATCCAGCAATTCCACTCCTAGGTATTTACCCAAAGGACACAGAAACATCAATTCCAAAGAACACCTGCACCCCTATGTTTATAGCAGCACTGTTTACAATAGCTAAGCTTTGGAAACAACCCAAATGCCCAAAAATAGATGACTGGATCAAGAAGATGTGGTACATATATACCATGGAATATTACTCAGCATTCAAAAAAGATAAACACATGCAATTTGCAGCAACATGGATGGCGCTGGAAGGGATCATGCTCAGCGAAATAAGCCAAAAAGAAAAAGAAAAATACCGGATGGTCTCACTCATAGCAGGAATCTAGAAAACTTAAATAAGGGACCAGGAAAATGAATAACTATAAGAAAGTGAAAATCAAAATCAACAAAATACTATGAACCAGAGACACTTTTAGGGGGGCAGGGGCGGGAGGGGAGGGATTGGGGTCAGAATGGGGGGGGCTGCAATTGTATGGGGAATATAAAAATAAAATTTATTATTAAAAAAATAAAAATAAATAAAAAAATAATAAAGTTTGTGGCTGTGTGTGTAACTACCATATAGTCTGCTTCATTTGTTTATAGGGAATTTTTTACATTTACAAATAATGCTGTGAAAAAGTAAGTGATTGAAAGCACATTAGTAGAAGATGCTCAGAAGTTTTACAAATTGTAGAATGGACTACTAACAGGAGCTAATGAAAAGCAACAGAAAATAGAAAGCAGTGTGAAATGATAAGCATATGAGAGAGTCCCCATGTGTTCAATAATTTATTATAAGTAATGGATTTGTAATGGTGTATATAAATATTGTTAGAATAACATTTTGAGTTAGGAACCATACTTGTAAAACATACTTGAATTCTTTTTCTTTTTTAAAGATTTATTTTTTTTTTAAAGATTTATTTATGTATACAAGAATTGGGGTGTAGGCCAGACCACTGCTGGGGGTGAGAGGATTCACCAGAGACAGTGGGGAATAGAACAGGCAGACTGAAATACACTGCTGAGGGGAGAAGCGGGCATGACAGGAGAGGTCTGCTGCGCCATGTAGGTCAGCTCCCTGGCCGGGGATCAAACTCATGAGGCAGTGGCTGGCGATAGCTTGATAGTGCTGTGTCTTTAACCCTGTTACCACCAGGGAGGCCCCATACTTGAGTTTTTTTTTTTTTTTAATTTTAAAATTTTTTATTTCATTGTTCATTTTTAAACAATATTTGGTTTCTCCCACCCCCTCAGGTGTAGTCCCCTTAGAGTTTCCTTCACCAATGCACCAGTGCACCATCACCTCAGTCCCCTGTGCTCTTCTTCCTCCTCCTCCCCTGCAGGATGTCTCTGATTCATAATTGTCTGTTTTTGCTTGTGTTTTGTACCATTATTAATTTTTTACCCGATGTCTTACTTGGTTCCCCTATATTCTTGCTATAAGTGAAACCATCCGATATTTTTCTTTTCCTTCCGGCTTATTTCACTGAGTATAATTCCCTCTAGCTCCATTCACATTGCTGCAAATGGCATGAGTTTATCTTTTTTGATTGCTGAATAACATTCCATTGTGTATCCATACTTGAATTCTTACTGCCCCCTTTTAAAGGTCTCCCTTTTAAAAATTCACATTTTAAAAATTTATAGACATACTCCCTTCATCCTTGTTTCACTTCCATTCGTCTGCCTTCTGAAGAATGACTATTCTCTCAACAACTTAAAGTCAATTTATCAAAATATTTTTTTTCACGTTTCCACATTTTCAACTTCGTCTTTTTCCTGTTACAGTTTATTTCTTGGTTAAATTTTAGTACTTTTGTGTGTTTGCTTTTGGTTTATACCTTCTCAGACCTCATCCTGTATTACTAGGACTTCCTTCAAGATGATAGTAACATCTGCCTGAATCAGCTTCACTGACTGGTTTTCCCCATTTTTGATTCATTATAGATTATTTACAGATTATGTTCCTTCCCTTATTTGAATATATTTTTTAAACTTTATTATGTTTGTTGAATATTATCTCAAATGTTCTGCCTGATCATTTTAGACTTGCAGAACTCTGTGTGAAACAGGTGCTTTTCTTTTCAATGTCTGTTGACAGTAACAAAGTTATATTTGCGTCCTTACACTGCCTTGACTTAGTTTTCATCATAGTGGAGTAGGAAGGGCTAAATTCAAATACTGAATCTGGTACTTGCCTAGTCACCTAGAATTAGACACAAATGTATATATAGCGCCTCAGATGAGGTTTGTCACTTATTGAGAGCTTCTAGTAAGTGACAGTTTAGTAATATTCTTGTAGACATTCACCATAACTTCCAAAATTCAGCTGAGGTAGTCTTGAATTAATCTTTTTCCCCCTACATTATCTCAACTCAGGTGTTCTGTCACATTTATACTTGTATGTTCCTTTGTATCTTGTCTCCACAACAGACTGTAGCATCCTTTGGTATCCTTCCATGTGCCTGTTCTGTGCACAGTGGGGTTCAGTACAGGATGTTGATTAACAAAAGCAGCCATGCAATTTTCTCTAATTTACAAGGAGTTTTTAGAAAGTCCTCAAAAGTATTCTGTGTTCCATGAATTACCTAAATGACAAAGTAGAAACTACAAGGAAATCGTGGTCTTTAAAAATTACAGTGTCAGAATTGGGAAAGTTTTTTATTTTTTTATTTTTTTTTTTTAATTTTTTTTTTTTTTAATAGAGGCATGTTTTTATTTATTTGTTTGTTTGTTTTGTTTATACATGCACTGGGCACAGTTAGAAGCGCGGGAGGGTGAGAGAATTCACCAGAGCCAGAGCGGGGAGCAGAGCAGGCAGAAGGACCGAAGTACACTGCTGAGGGGAGCAGCGGGCGGCAGGAGAGGTCTGCACACCATGTGGGACCCTCCTCCGGTGGCCGGGGAGCAGCCGGGGATTGAACCAGCGCTGCAGAGGCCGCGGGCAGCTTTGCAACCCAGCGCTCAACCGCTGCGCCACCGGGGAGGCCCGGGAAAGTTTTTTAAAAAAATTCCTCTGCATTAAACTCTTTTACCTCTTCTCACATTTCATTTTGTTTGAGACATGTGAGATCAATATTTTTAGCTAAGCACTTTTTTATCCCCCAGGCAGAAGCATCACATTGGGAGTTCTCTGAAGGTATCCACTTAAGGTAGATCTCTTAACAGTATGGACAGAATACTCCCAAAAATGGATTGCTGGACTAGAAAGCAAAGAAATGATAGGCATTCTATTTTCACTTTGATCTTGAAATCCTACACAATCTTTCAAGCATGAAGATAAATTCCATAAAAACTATTCACTTGTGTTGAAGGACAAATACTGCTGTCAACTGGAAAAGAAAAATTGACATAAGTTAATTGCTATTTTAGTATAAATGCTGGAAATGTTCATTGAATAATAAGGGGTTGGTAGTAATGGGTGTCTAAGGAGGTGCACATTTCAACATTGAAGTCTAGCTGAAATTTATCAGGTAATTTTGCCAAACTGGTTCCATAATAGAATGAATTCTTTTGAAAATAGAAAAATTGTTGGAAATTTATTTTCTAAATTGATATTTACCACTTTTTAGAAATTGGTGTCTGTAAATTATCCATTTCCTTGTCTGTATGTCTTATGTACTATTTGGTTAGCATGTTTTAGAAGGCACACATGAATTGGAGCCCAGCCTCTTCTCTGACTTGAAATTTGATACTAGAGATTGCACTGATAAAGGCTATTTCAAAACCAGTTTGAAATTAATAATAGGACAAAAGACTTCCTCTATTTTCCAAAATGTGTTTGAAAATCTAGAAATGTACTTTCAAAGGGATGGTACCAATGATCAATTATTTAAGAAAATGGTTCCATGGCTAAGTATGTTTGGGAAATCCATTTCATTCCTATATGATTTCTCAGACCCTTTACAAAATCAATGTGCATTGTGAATATGCAAAGTTCTTTCAAACTAGCAGGCACATGTTCATCCATCTGTTTGATGAACAAATTAATTGGAAATATATTAAGAAGGCTAAATATCAGATAATAAACTTTTCCGGAAGGACTTTGAGTTTTGAGGAGTTGTTGCAATATTAGTGACTCATGAAAGGTCATAAATTTATTTCTTTCCAGCTTTTATTTGGTGGTAATCAATTCTAATATGTGGCCTTTGTTACACTTGCAGAAGTGTTAGTTTTCAGGATGTAATGTAATGGAAAGAAAAAAAGCATTCATTGTTTATATGAATATTCTTTATTGAGGATGAGAAATATTCTTAATTTACTCAAATCAGAGGTAGTCATGGCCCCTACCCAATTAACTTTACAGTCTTAGAAACTTGTGCATTTTAAGCTCTTAATTATAGCACAAAAGAAAATTGAGGAAACTTGTTAAGTCAGCTATGAAACCCCTATGAAAAGGCTTTGGAGTACACATCCTACGACATAAGGTGGTTTGTGAGCAATACAATATAGTATCTGCTTATTGGTCATAAGATGCAAAGTCCACAATGAAGTTAGATCCTTCCCCAATTTCTATTAGGGAGCTCTTTTGTTTTCAACAATCCTTTGTGAGGAAGTTATAAGGAATCTCTTAAAATAACCATCACCTATATTGTCACTGTATAAAATAACCCAAATTTTTTCAATAAGCAGCTTACCCTAATGCAGTGAGACAGAATGCTATGTGCGTGTGTGTGTATGTGTGTTCTCTAGGAAAAGATAGTCCAGAGTCAGATACTTTTACACTGAAAAATAGACCTAATTTCTTGTATCATTTTGGGGGAACTGTTACAAATGTAAATTTGCTTCTGGGGGAAAAAAAGCCACAAGGTTGTTTTTTTTTTTTTTTTTTTTTTTAAAGATTTATTTATTTATTTATACAAGCACTGGGTACAGTCAGAAGCGCGGGAGGGCGAGAGAATTCACCAGAGCCAGAGCGGGGAGCAGAGCAGGCAGAAGGACTGAAGTACACTGCTGAGGGGAGCAGCGGGCAGCAGGAGAGGTCTGCGCGCCATGTGGGACCCTCCTCCGGTGGCCGGGGAGCAGCCGGGGATCGAGCCGGTGCTGCAGAGGCTGCGGGCAGCCTCGCAACCCAGCGCTCAACCGCTGCGCCACCGGGGAGGCCCAAGGTTGTTTTTTTAGAAAGACTTCAGAAATGTTGAGGAGAGGCTCTTAATACTTCTGTTATATCCAACAGTTCACATCTGAATGTGATAAATTAAGCACCAAAATCAACACTGATACTTATTGCAGCAACTTAACATTTTTCCAAAATACTCCCCACCTCCCAGCACTTATTCATGCTACAATTTATCTTGAGTAGGTACATGAAAAAAAGCTGTTTCCTTAAATATTATTAAATCATCATTCTAGCTAGTCAGTGTTTCAGTTCTCAGGCCAATTCTGTTTGTATTTGAGGCAATTTGGTCTTTAATAATGTAGCACCAAGATCGAACCAAAGTGTGACTATCATATGCTGCTGCTACTGACAGTCATAGATCAGTCAAGCAGGAACTTTTGTTTTACAGGTAAAGAAACTGAATGTTAGATGGGTTTTAAACCAGTGCTCCTGCCTTATAATTATTCTTTCACATGCTATCTTTTCTCCCATTTGAAAGCTTTGCCATGTTGGTTTCTCTATAAAAGAAATACCTGAATTTATTGAGAACCTGGGGAGCATAACTACCAGGTTAGAGAGTGGGGAACAGTAGGAAATGGCAGAAACTTGGGGAGCTGGTCTGACTATGGTTGGAATTCCATTATTGTTTCTTCTACTGGATACTTCATTTGATCAGTGGAGGGTATAATGGGTTCTTCTATACTTTCATTACAAACTGTCAAGCATGGTGTCATTGATACATAATATCTATCCTAAATCTGCTAAATTAATTCAGGTATGATTTGGAGACTTACTTTGCTTGTCTGAATGATTTTAAGTTGATACTAATAACATTTCTGATTTTAAAAACATTTTTTAAATTTATTTTAAGGATGGTGAACCAATTCAGATTTTGGTTCCTGCCCCTTCAAAAACCGTTATCAAGGGGGCCTCCCCGGTGGCACAGTGGTTGAGCGCTGGGTTGCGAGGCTGCCCGCTGCCTCTGCAGCTCCGGCTCGATCCCCGGCCACCGGGCGAGGGTCCCACATGGTGCACAGACCTCTCCTGCCGCCCGCTGCTCCCCTCAGCAGTGTACTTCGTCAGTCTGCCTGCTCTGCTCTGCTCTGCGCTCTGACTCTGGTGAGTTCTCTCACCCTCCTGTGCTTCTGACTGTACCCAGTGCTTGTATGGATAAATAAATCTCAAAAAAACAAAACAAAACTGCTATCAAGAAAAAATGAGAACTTGGAATGCCTGATTGAAAAGTTGTTAAGGGCTTGATGGTAAACCAAATTGAGTTTTATATACTTTCATATGTAATATATCAAAATCATTTTTGGCAATATTAAGATACTTTCAGTATATAATAAATTACTTTTTATTTAAGTAAAAGTCAAAATATTGAGGTTACCAGATTTTATAAGATGAGGTTGAGAGGCCACAAATTCTGTTTATATTAATGTGTGATTTTGTTTGTGTAGAATAAGCTTAGCATAGGGGTAGCTCCTAAATGCCCAAGTGTTTCCCATACATCTGTGGTTCTCATCATTCACTCCGTAACAAGTCCAGTATAGTTACATTTCCAGATCCTATAGAACTTTATAGAATAACAAAGGCAGTTCATTTTCCATATGGAATATACAACACTTAGAAATTTGCTTGCCAGAGTTGCTTTTATCCCGTTTGATGCTCCTCCGTCAATTTTTTTTTTTTTAAGATTTATTTATACAAGAACTGGGGTACAGGCCAGATGCACGGGAGGGTGAGAAGATTCACCAGAGACAGAGCTGGGAACAGAACAGGCAGACTGAAGAAATACACTGCTGAGGGGAGCAGCGGGCGAGACAGGAGAGGTCTGCTCGCCATGTGAGTAGTTCCGAAGCTGGGGATCGAACCGGCACTGCAGAGGCTGCACACAGCTTCACAGCGCTGTGCTTAACCACCTGCGCCACCAGGGAGGCCCCCTCCGTCAATTCTTACATAAAATGTTTTTAGATAGGTTAAGTACAGGCTCTCATAATGGAGAACAGTTGCTTCAAATTGAGTACTAGTTGTAAATATTTTGTTTTCTGATTTTAAAAGGTAGCTTGTAGTGTGTTAACCGGTAACACACAATTTTATTATGAACCTTTGGGTAAATGCAAAATCCAGTAAAAGCACTGTATTTACATTTATTTTTTGATACACATATGAAAATATTCTGACAGTTTTACTAATGAGCTAGAGATTGCCAAAACAGAATACTACTTTCATAAAATGATTCAAAGCCTGTATGGGGTAGACTGGGAGTGGCAGGCTGCAGGAATTCTATTCATTCATTCCCTAGTATGTGCTAGGCTCTGAGAATACAGAAATGAAAAGTTTCAATAAGCCCTGGCTTCTAGGAACTCAGTCTGCCCCCCCTCCTCCCCCCAAAAAATCACAAATGGAAGTAGATCTTAAGACTGTTATAAATTCAAAAATAATTTGGGGAGCAGAGGAAAGGCCCTTTAACCTCAGTTTGGGAGAGGGTGAAATGGATGGTCAGTAAAGGCCTCCTAGGAGTTGATACCTGAACTATTAAAGGAGTAGAAAGGCAATATAGTGGGTCAGAATGGCACACCAAGCACAGGGGACACAAACAGCATGTTATGTGAGTAGGAACCACAAGCACTTGATGTTTGATGTTGTTTTAGGCAGCCCTTAATCCCTTCACCAGTACTGTGTGTAGGATGGATTTGAAGAGAATAGGAGCAGGAGACTAGTAAGGTGGTTGTAGTGGTGCAGGTGAGCTATGGCGGCTGAAATGAGGCAGTCTATGCAGCCTTGGAAAGAGGGCAGAACCAATTTATAATACAAAAGTTGACTTTTCTGACCGGATATGTGGGATAAAGGAGGAAGAAGTATGAAGGATAACTTTCAGGTTTCAAGTAATTGAGACAGAATACAGGAGAAAGAGCAACTCTAGGGAGAAAAGTATGTTTGATTTTCAACATGAGTTTGAGGTATCTGGGCCACACCAGGTGAATATGCCCAGTTGGACATAAGTCTGCAGCTCAGGTAAGAGGATACAGTTACACATTTGGGAGTCATCAGCATAACAGACTTGCAGAAAGGCAAGGACTCAATTGACCTGGGGCTCTATAGACGCAACCTTGTCATCCCCTGAGGCTCATATTTTCTTGGGCCACTGAGATATGGTTGCCTTTTTTCCTCATATTTCCTTAGAAGATTTGTAAAACTCCCCAGTGTTCTCATTTTCCTCCTGCACTGAGAACTAACATTTGGCACTTTCTCTTCACACATAACCCTCATGGCAAGGCGATTAGTAAATGTTCATCTTCAATACTTGTATTCATCTGGCTCTCTGTATACAACATTAAGTCCTTTTTTCTTGTAGGAACATTTTGTTTCTGAAGTTTACTTTCTTACAAATTTCTAAGATTATTTCAAGATTACATGTAAGTGGGTAGTACTTGATAGGTTGATGTCTTCCATTCATCATCAAGACCAAATCATTACTTTTGTATCACCACACACTGGTTGTTGCAGGATTTGGAAGCAACCAATTCTCTTCTGAAGAAAGGATGGTGGGCTTTATCGAGTCAAGATCCCACGGAGAGCCTTAGCGTTGCAGTAACCTGTCGTGAGTGATCCCTGATTCCAGGCGGTGATGAGAGCTGAGTTTCACATTTTGCTTTATTTGAGAAATATGTGAAAAAGAGTCACCAAAAATACTAACAGGCTAGACTTTGTTACAGCCGAGTGACTTGGCAAATTATATAGAGGGATGGTAGGACACAAAGGATTTGATGGTGGAATGAAATCCAGTTGCCCTCTCAATGGAAGTAAAATATCCTTTTTAAGAGCACTGAAGTTCTGGGATTTTTCTGGAATAATCACCTTTGTTAGGAATGGATTGTGTCCAGGGACTGTAACCTAAAAGAAAATAAGAAACAATTATGTTTTGTGGTGCTAACACTGAAAACATTGACACAGAACTAAAATGCAGCTTTTATGAAACATATATAACAATCTCCCAGGCTTCCATGGCTAGTAACAGCTTTAGTTCTGCTTGCTGAATGAGTTATCTGATGTCTGTTGATATGGACCATAGTTTTCAATGCTATTGCCAAGAATTACCAAGTGAAATAAAAACAGATTTGAAGATTTATCTAGAGATGTAAGTCAAGAGAAGGAAGCAGACTGATTTTGCCCCCATCATTTTCATGGAGAGCAAAGGTGAACAAGAGTAGACTCTTTCCCTTTGTCTCAAGTCTGTACTTAATATCCTCATTGGGTATCAAGATTTTATAAGTGGAATTTTTTTCTCAATTCATTTTTTTAAAAAGATTTATTTTTATTTATGCATACAAGAATTGGGATATAGGCCAGAGGTACGGGAAGGGGGGATTGTGAGAGGATTCACCAGACAGAGTGGGGAGCAGAACAGTGGATTGACTGAAATACACTGCTGAGGGGAGCAGCGGGCGAGACAGGAGAGGTCTGCTGTGCCATGTGGGTCAGCTCCTTGGCGGGGCATAGATCTCATGCCACAGTAGCTGCTGATAGCTTGATAGTGCTGACTTTAACCCCTGTGCCACCAGGGAGACCCTCAATTCATTTTCCCTGCAGCTGATCTAGGAGTACAAGTTTATTGATTCCTTAAAAAGCTTGGTTTTATCTGGCTTTATTCATAAAAGTCTGAATCTTCAGCCAGATTTGTTTCTTGGTGGAGAAAATGATCAGGAAAAATAGGACAAATGCTAAACTAACTATAGACCATGTCCACTGAGAAATACTTTTATTATGTATGGTAGAGAGGGAAACAAATGGAGAACAACATTATAGAATCACTAATTGCTATTAATTTTAGCCATTCATTTTAGTTTTCAAAGTCTTACCTTCTAATCTTGTTCTAGAACTAGTAGCTAAAGGCAACATGTACTATATTAGTCTAATGGAAAATGAACAATTCGTAATTTTATTGTATAAAGGTGTGGCTCATTTCTCAGACTGCATAAAAAATTTGGATTTAGGTATAAAAGAAAATCCTCTTTTTTTCACAGAATAGGAAAGTCTCAGTAAATAACAGGGTAACAAAGGGCATTTTTAGGCAAAGATTGCAGAGAGTTGAGGTCTTTCAAGCTCTAGTCATCTTCTCAGTAGGAAGAGAGAGTCTCAAGAAGAGTATTAGCAATTGATGAACCCCTCTATTGAGCACTATGGTGAAAAGCTATACTTCACTGAAGCTCTGCTTCCCACAGTTTTGTAATCTGAAAGCCATGCCTTTCATTACATCTAATTTTTTTTTTAATTTTTTTTTTTAATAGAGGCATGCTTTATTTATTTATTTGTTTGTTTGTTTGTTTTTGTTTATACATGCACTGGGTACAGTCAGAAGCGCGGGAGGGTGAGAGAATTCACCAGAGCCAGAGCAGGGAGCAGAGCAGGCAGAAGGACCGAAGTACACTGCTGAGGGGAGCAGCGGGCGGCGGGAGAGGTCTGCGCGCCATGTGGGACCCTCCACTGGTGGCCGGGGAGCAGCCGTGGATTGAACCGGCGCCGCAGAGGCCGCGGGCAGCTTCGCAACCCAGCGCTCAACCGCTGCGCCACCGGAGAGGCCCCTTTCATTACATCTAAAGATGAAATGAACTAGAAGTTAGTTTTGCTACAGCCATCTCTCCCAGGAGTAGAATGACTGCTACCATTGACATCAGAACCATTTAGCAAAGTAGAAGAATTGTTAGTATCTTAGAGAAATTCATAACAAGGAAGAGGAAGCACAATCTGACCAAAATCAAGTACACAGTAATTTAGTTTGTTCAACTAGTTTTGGCTCAAACTAGTCCATGCCTCTTCCAGCACTATGAAATGACTTAGAAACTAGCATCTGAATAGAGTGAAAAACTGGAATTTTACTTGCACCTATTGAAAAAACTCATTCTCATCTTCTAATGAAAGAACTGCAAAATAGATCTATCCTTTCCTTAATATAGCGGTAAAACTTACGGATCAAATTTCACTTATAATGAATTCTAAGGAATGTGTCCCCATTCACTTTTTACTTTTTTTTTTTTTTTTTTTTATAGAGGCATGTTTTATTTATTTATTTGTTTGTTTGTTTGTTTGTTTATACATGCACTGGGTATAGTCAGAAGCGCGGGAGGGTGAGAGAATTCACCAGAGCCAGAGCGGGGAGCAGAGCAGGCAGAAGGACCGAAGTACACTGCTGAGGGGAGCAGCGGGCGGCAGGAGAGGTCTGCGCGCCATGTGGGACCCTCCTCTGGTGGCCGGGGAGCAGCCGGGGATTGAACCGGCGCCGCAGAGGCTGCAGGCAGCTTCGCAACCCAGCGCTCAACCGCTGCGCCACCGGGGAGGCCCCCCCATTCACTTTTTGATAGCAGAAATAGTTCATGGAATGGATATTAAAATGGTATTCCATGAATCTGGGAAGCATTTTGGCTGTGCTGTTAATTCTTCTAAAAAAAATCTTTATTCCTATTTTTATCATAAAAGGTTATCCCAAGATAAAGGATTTTATTTTAAAAGTCAGTGGCCAATTGGGAAGAAACTTGATTTGTTCTGTCACTCCTACCTTTCTCAGCTCTTGCCAGTTGTACATTTGATGCTGTCCTTTGCTTCTGTTCTGACATACCTACTTTTGGACTTTTCCTGACTTACTTTAGATTTCTTCTGGGTGAGTAATTATTGTGAGTTCTATATTTTAATAATAATAAATAGGACTGCATACTTACATTTATCTTATAGGACCCAGGCAACAGAAGGAGATAATACTCTCCAAATTTGTTGGTTCTATAAGGGCAGATATGTTGTTTGCCTTCGACTTCTACAATCACATTGGGTAATGGATTTTTATTCTGATCAAAAACTTGACCCTTTACACCTGCAAGACAAAAAGAGAAATAAATGTTGATGCCGTATTTCATGGCATATGAAAAAACATAATTATTTAAGAAAAATATGCTTGAAATTTGTTACCTTTTTTGAGTTTTGTAAGTGTTTGAGAAGGAAGATAAACTTTTAAATTGAGATATAATTGACATGCAACCACGAATCTGTTCCCTTTATCTATGAACTTGATTTTTAAAAATTTTATGTGTAAGTGAGACTATATGTCTATGTCTTCTTTGACTTATTACATATAGTATAATATCCTCAAGGTTCATCCATGTTGTCATAAATGGCAGGATTTCATTCCCCTTTTTTGGCTGAATAATTCCAGCATGTATATATACCATGTTATCTTTAGTATAGAGGCTCCTCTGAAAATAAAAAACAGAACTACTGTATGATCCAGCAATTTCACTTCTGGATATTTATATAAAGAATATGAAAGCACTAATTTAAAAAGATGTGCACATCTATGTTCATTGCAGCACTGTTCTCAATAGCCAAGATATAGAAACAACCCATTGATGAGTTATTAAATGAAGATGTGATGTATATACACGATGGGCAACATAGACATACACACACACACACACACACACACACACACAGATGCATATATACATTAGTGAAATCTTGTCATTTGCAACAACATGGATGAAACTTGAGGGCATTATGCTAAGTGAAACAAGTCAGAAGGAGGACAACTATCACATGATTTTACTTGGCGAATATAAAGCAATAAAACAAAAACAAACCTTTAGTTCTGACAACAGAATAGTGGTTACCAGAGGAAAGAAGGAGGTGATAGGGGTAGAGAAGGTAGAGAGGGTAGATTAAGTGGCCATGGAAGGTAACTAGGTATTTGGTGGTGCGTGTGGCATATATAGTTGCAAGGTGTCAAGGAGTACAGCTGAAACTTACACAGCGTTGTATACCAATACTATGTAAGGAAAGACAAAAAGGTGTTTGCTCCCATTACTCATAAATATATTCTTTGGCTTCCTACTGAGCACTGATAAGGAGAGAACTTTCTACCAAGTAACAATAACCACACGATATCAGTATTTTTGAAATAAGGTTTCATTAAGTTAGAAACAAATGCCTGTCTTAAACCACAAGGGGGCATGGTTGACATGCTAACAGACATATTTTTAACTGAGTTGTGTACATCTGATTATAGGAGCAAACAGCTAGATAAATGTGTTATTTTTTTATAACACCTAGTATAAATGGACTTGTAAGCTCTCCAAAATAATATGAACAGTTTTGCTGCAATTTGTATGTTATTTAAACAGTTTATAAATCTCCTTCACTGGCAATATTATGTCCAATACTTCAGAGTCCACCTTAATTCAGCACTTGGCAAACAACCTTTACATCAAGATTGAAATTCCAAAAACAGTAGTGCAGTTACCTGGAGCATATTTCATGTTCAGTTGCATTCCCATGTTGACGCTGATGAAGGAAGAATTTTAGAAAATAGGCAGAGTAACACACTAAAGGATCAAAATAGATAGAAATACAATAGAAAGACTAATTAATATGTGCCTCATGAGGAAAGTCTAGTGGAGAAACACCAGAATGCTAAGCAAGAAAGACCCAAAACAAAGTTTGAAGACATAATGGGAAAGGAGAAAGACTAATAATTTAATAAGCATTATTAAGATGCTGGTGGAAAAGATCTTTTTGTAACCTATCTCATAAATGACTCCTCCCAGTTTACCAATAACTTCTGTGAACTTGTATTCAGGGAATGTGGGGCTCGGGTTGGAGATGCAGGCATGAAAGGGAGAAGGGACATCCATTTTAGGGATGTGTGGCCAAGTGAAATTTGTAGTTAGCTTTTTACTCTTACCCTGTGCTTTGTACTTGGCCCTAATATTCTGCTTCTGACTTTTCTCTCTCTCTTTTATTTAGCAAGTGGGAAGGTCTGATGTGAAACATGCTGAAAATTCTAAGAATTATGCAACTATGCAGCAAGCCCAGGATGGAAACCTCCGCAACACAAACATCTTCCACTTTGACTTGATATGGTAACGTAACTATCGTGTCAGATCCTGATCTGATTCTTCCTCCAAGTTGTTCTGAATGAAGAAAGGTAACTTTAACTCTGGCAATGCACACAAGCCTGCACACCCTGCCCGGGGAGACACAGTCTGGTTAAATAAACCTGAACTGTGAAGATTCCATCCACATCACCAGCAGTGTGTTCCTCCCCTGTGCAATGGTTTTCACAGTGTGGTGGCTGTCCCAGCACCATCAGCATCACCTGGGATGATGTTAACATTCTGGAGCCACTAAATGAGAAACTCTGGGAGTGGGGCCTAGTAGCTATGTTTTGACAAACCATCCCAGTGAGTCTGCTGCACACAAATTGAGAACTACCCTCTTTCCCATTTATTCTGTCCACTGTGATACAGGCCAGACAACAGTCAAATAACAGGCTGGGACAACACCCAGTGCCAAATGATCTGGCATAATCGAGGGTCAGAGGGGTTGAAGCTAACGGTGCTAGGTCACCATCCCAGTTCTAGGGAAAAGTGCAGATGAATGTCCACTATTTTCCGGGTCTGTGATACTGTGTGGCAAGTGACAAGCAATGTTGATGTTTTTCTAAGTAAGTGACCATATAACAAAACAAGAACCCATTTTTTTCTGCTCTTTCTGCCAGATTTCCAGGTAATTCAACATGTATGAATGAAAGTACTCCAGATTTTACACCCCTATATAAAAGTCACATGCACCATGCTTTCTCTTATATGAATTGATGGGCACTGCCTTTCTCACACGCTGTAGATATTTATGCAGAGAGAATTTTTTACCATTAGTTCTGGTTCTAAAAATGAGGCAGCGCCTAGAAAAAACAGGGGCATGCATTTTCTCAACCCAAAAGTTTACCAGATGCTGTATTTTGTTAACAAAGAATTACTAAGGAAAGCTTACAAACCTAGGTGCACCTGTTTCATATATTCAATTAATGAGGCTCTGTTATCATTCCAGAAAGATGTAAGCTTCTCTGCACGAGGGTATTTACAGCACGACAACTCCAATGTGATTTCAAAACATTGAGCCCAGATGTAGTTGTAATCTTGCATTCCACCTAAACACAAGCATATTTCATATTTTTAAGGTCTAAAATTGGAGTGGAGACAAGTATGGACAAGTGAATAAGACAGTTGCAAGGAAAGTACAGGTAAACAGGAAAAGATGAATTTGACATACTAGCATGGAAAACCATTCTATTACCAAGGCATGACAGGTAATCCTAAATATTCCCATATGGGTAATGGAGCAGACCCAAGTGAAGTGTGACTGCACCAAAGTTAAAGGAAGTGTCCTTTTTCTGTGTGTGTGTATCTAATATTACAAAAAGGATTCTTCAGATTACTGAATTACATTTTAAACAGATTTAGAAATATTTTAACAGAAATATTACTCTAAGTCATTCATTAAACATTATGTAATACTAAGTATATTCTAATTTCGGAGACCATTAATGGGCAACATTTACTGAGTGTTCATTATTGCTAGGGACTGGCTGAAGAACTTTGTATCAACTCATTAAATCCTCACAGCAATTATTACCTGCATTTTACAGGGAGGGATTGATCACAGATGGTAAGCAACTTGCCCAGGGATTCCAATGGGTGAATGGCAGAGACCCAAGACAGGCTCTTACCCATCTCACCAAGCTGCTTCTGGGGCTGAAAGAGAGGGGCATGGAGCTAACTCTTCAAGGGCAAAGACCCCCCTGTTGCTTCTGGGGCTGCTCGCTTTCTAGTGCTTATCTCTGGAGACCCTATTTTCAAAGGGTTATAAACAAAACTTTTTATATTTTAAAATCTCTAAATTGGTATGTCTTAAATTGGATGGCTGAAAAAACATCACATCATCAGTTTGGAAATTTTTTACTTTTTTTTTTTTTTTAAAGATTTATTTATTTATACAAGAGCAGGGGTACAGGCCAGAGACGCAGGAGAGTGAGAGGATTCACCAGAGACAGAGTGGGAAGGAGAACAGGTAGACCGACTGAAATACACTGCTGAGGGGAGCAGCGGGCGAGACTGGAGAGGTCTGCTGCTCCATGTGGGTAGCTCCCTGGCAGGCCGGGAATGGAACCCTTGCTGCAGAGGCTGTGGACAGCTTCACAGCGCTGTGCTCAACCCCCTGAGCCACCGGGGAGGCCCAACTTTCTACTTTTTTCTTGGTGGTACATTGTTTTACAATCAGTGACATCTTGGATTTGATAAAATACAGTAACTTTGAAGGAAGTAGTTATACTTGATATCTGGCAAGAAGATGTGTATTATGTATTCTCAGTTCCTTTAGGGTACCTGGGGACTACTGAAATAGAAAAAAACTCAAGAAAATTATCAAAATATTAAATGAGGACCTCCCTGGTGGCACAGCGGGTTGAGTGCAGTGCTGTGAAGCTGTCCGCAGGCTCTGCAGTGCGGGTTCAATTCCCGGCCGGCCAGGGAGATTCCCACATGGCGCTCAGGACCTCTGCTGTGGTGCCAGCTGCTCCCCTCAGCAGAGCTTTCGGTCCGTCTGCCTGTTCTCCTCCTCATTCTGTCTCTGGTGGATCCTCTCACCCTCCTGCGCCACTAGCCTGTACCCCAGCTATTGTAGAAAATAAATCTTTAAAAATAAATAAATCTTAAAAAAAAAAATCTTTAAAAAAATATTATATGAAAATATTATTTGAATATCATGTAGGTCCAGATTCTAGCCAGAAAGAACTTTCTATTTCTTTTATCTGTTTTTATATTTCTCTTTGATCTCATTTCCACCAAGAAATAGAAAGGGAAAAAAAAAGTGGAGAGAAAAAACAAAACAAAAGCCCTTGTCTGGAAGACTGTGTCTCACGTCGAATGAACTTAAATAGCAAAACAGATGTGTAAAGCATGCAGGATTGAAAATACCAAGTGTGGAGAGCATGCAGCTCTGGACAAGGTAAGTTAGGCCTCTGAGCTTAAGCAGAATGCTTTGTTCTAAGCTCAAAGGAATTGGCTCTGCCTGCTGTTTTTCTCAGAAGGATACACAGCTTACACGCAGGTACACCTGGCAACAATTAATTCCCTGCAGCAAAATTAGGTTCCTACCCATACATCTGAATTTGTCCTGGCAGTTTCGGGCAGTACACATAAAAGACAGCTCTGCCACTGAGCAGAGGGGACACTGTCCTCATTATGAAAAATGACAAAGGAACTATTCCAAAAGCCCGAGGTTGGGGTGGAGAGGCCGTCTCTTGGACAACAGAAATTTGGGATGTAGTAGTGTCTGCTTGGCCCTGCTGTGGTCAGTCGTGGTCTCTGCTTATTTACATTACCCAGAAAACTGGCAGAGTGCTGCCGGGACACAAAAGTACTAGAAATGAAAGTACCAGTTTGTGCAAGACTAACTTGTGCATCCAAAGTGACAAGTGGGGAACTGGTTGTGTGTAGAAATGCAGACTGCAGCTTGCTCTTGGATGGGTCAGGCCATAACCAGTCTCCGTGGGGGAACTTCTCATGGAAGCAAAGGAAACCCAGTTCCAGCCCATCTGCCCTCTCACCTTCCATCCTAGGTCCCTTCTCTCTCTCAGTTCCCGGACTAGCACAAGCTCTCTGACAAACTCTTCTGTTTATTCCTTCTGTTAAGAACATTCCCCTTCCTATGTCCTCAAGCTTTTTCTTCACCTGGCCATCCTCTGCCAAGGGTGGAAAATGGGAGCCCCCTCCTACATCCAGCTGGAAGAGCTCTTTTGTTTAGGCTGCAAAGTGACTTCAAAATCACAATATTTTGTGTACAAATTCAGCTTGTTTTACAAACCGGAAGAGCTGGCATTATTGGAGCCCCATGGCAAGATGGCAATTATTTGGAAGTAGCAGCTGTCCCCCATTACGTGACACATAAGCAATAAATTTCTCCAAGGTCTTCACTACTCAATGTTGTTACTTTGGCTTTATACCCATGTGGTACACAGCACCTTCTCTAAATCTCTACTTGTATCCTAATTATACTGTCACCACGATTATTCATTTGTATATTACTCTTCCCTAAGATCTTTCCCGACAGTTCCTGGCTTGTCGTAAGTAAATGCTGAATAAGCCTCAGAATGAATAAAGGAACAGGCAGTAATGAACAATTCTGAGTATCCCTCAAACACCAGTTACCCCTGCTGCTCTGTGATGTTAGGTGACAGAGACATAACTAAAGAACTGAAGGGGCTGCACTATGCCTCACAAACTTTCATCAAGTGCTGGAGTCAACAAAAACCAGCTGGTACCTCTGGGTGGAGACAATAAGAATGGTAGAAAGGAAGAGAAACTCACCCTTAAGTGGATACCAAGAATACCCATTTATAATTCCATTTCGAGAGTTCATTTTATTTTTACACTCATCTCCTTTCTTCATGACAGGATTTCTTGAAGCATAAGTATGTGCAAGATATTGAAAAACATCATCATCAGGGGTTAAACTCCGCAAGTGTAAGGTCCCAGTTGCTGTACATGAAAGACAAACCGGGACCTTTCAGTTGACTTCAGAGTAAGAGGGAATATGCACCAGCAAATAAGCAAGGACATCATCTCATCACACACCAAGGCTCTAATTTCCCCAGAGAGAAATCCTCTACCCTCTTCCACCAATGCACCCTCTCCTCTTCTTCCTAGTTTTTAATGAACACACAAAGTGATGGACAAAAGGTAGATTATATTCAAACTCCTCCAAAGCCAGCTTAAAAATTAAATATTCTCTTACTTAATCTTGCCGATTTCTGGAAGCCAGTCAACTGTCCTTAGGTCCTACAGACTAGGTTAAGTGAAGCCTCTGTAAGGTTTTAAGTCTTTAGTTTATACTGCATCCCACAGAATTTGAAAAGGAGTTCTAAGCTATTACGCATCTGATCAGCAAAGTCAGATTTTTTCTAACTTTAGCTGTTTCCCCTTGTGTGATAATCCACATCCTGACTATACTATTCACTGAAGAACATCCAGAAATCCTGTTGTCGCTCTGCCACACTGCCCTTCTACTGTTTATAAATTGCAGGAAGGTTGGCTTTGGGCTGGGAAAAGGAGGCGCTCTCTATCCCGACCAGAGCAGTTAAGTGGGGTGGAGGGAGGGGAGGAGTTTGAGGAGTTTCACCATTTAGAGGCAGAGTTTGCAGCTCGTTCTGGAGCCGGCCTGTGTGCGCTTACCTGGAACACCATTATCAAACGGGTAACTGGCTACCAGGGCACCGCCGTGGAGGTTCGCAGAGAGGACGAATGTCTCTGTTTTCAGCCACTCCATGACTGCCCTGGTTTCAGGCTGAGTTGTTACATTGTTAAATTCGAAAGCATCAGGGAAGTTTCTATTCAAGTCATAGTCGTTACTATTTTCCCTTTAAAAGAAAGAAGTTTGAGGGTTTACGGATAGTATGTGTCTGGACTCAGGTGTTTTCCCAAATATGAAAACGAAATTGGTGGGTGGCCACTCAGGGGCTCCAATGAGCCACACTTGGCACTCACACCTCTGGGGGGACTTGCTCTGCCCATGGGCCAGTAGCTATTTGATGTAAACAGGGATTTGATAAATGTTTGCATTTCAGCGCTTTTAATCAGGGAACTCTGAGACTCCCAATACTAGCCAGCTGGAGACGCCACATGAAGAAACAGAACCCGGGTGACTCCGGATACGTGGTCCCAGGCTAGCTGTCTCAGCCGACCCCAGCTGAGGCCCCAGACATCATGGCATCAAGATTAGCCATCCCCGCCCTGCCCCAATTCCTAACTTACAGAACTGAGAGTAAATTCGGGGGTTACATACTGATTTTTGGTTACATAGTGATTGATAACAGAAACAACAGGGATGTGCTACTTTATACAAATAAATTTCTGGAAAGTGCACTGGTCATGTTTAAAATAAAGTTGAAAGGAACCAAATGGTGAGATTTTATTTATTTATTTATTTTTTTTTTTTTAAACAGTTTATTTTTTTTTTTTTTAAAGATTTATTTATTTATTTATACAAGCACTGGGTACAGTCAGAAGCGTGGGAGGGTGAGAGAATTCACCAGAGCCAGAGCGGGGAGCAGAGCAGGCAGAAGGACCAAAGTACACTGCTGAGGGGAGCAGCAGGTGGCAGGAGAGGTCTGCGCGCCATGTGGGACCCTCCTCCGGTGGCCAGAGAGCAGCCGGGGATTGAACCGGCGCTGCAGAGGCTGCGGGCAGCTTCACAACCCAGCGCTCAACCACTGCGCCACCAGGGAGGCCCGATTTTATTTATTTTTGATGAAAGTAAGCAAATTTTAAACTGCACAAATACATATTACATTTGAGAAATTCCAAACTTCCTGAGGCAGATTGGAACAAAATAAACTGTTGAAATCAGAAAAACTGTAAGACTCACTCTATTTCTCACTAGGTCTGGTTCCTTCTGGCCTAATGAAAGAACGAGTATTTACCGAGGTCCTGGGCATATGCATGGCCTCAGGGACTCAGCAATGGTAAACATAACACACAGGATTCCTACCCTCAGGTAGCCAAGCATTCAGTGGGGAGAGAGGCATTTATTATGCAAGCAATTAGACTTTAAAATTTGTGTTATAAAGTTAAAAAGCCAGGTAATGAGAGAATGTAACTGGGGACCTCATCTGTGAAAGGTCAGGGAAAGGCTATTTAAGCAGTGGAAGGAGTGAGGAGTGGAAAATGTAGGTGCACAGCGTCAGAGATGAGAAGGAACCTGGAAGTTCGAAGAAGATGGTGGGTTGCAGGGGGAGAAGTGGGGTGGGCATGAAACTGGAGATACCTTCCACCCCAACCCATGGCTCCAGCGCTGGGCCCCATGAGCGGATTGCAAGCAGTGTAAGGGCAGCTGGTGGTGGCATTTCACCCAGCGGGGCTCAGGTGGGGCTCAGGTTGCAGGCAGAGGCCAGCAAGGAAGGCAAATGGGTGGCTCCCCTGCCAGCTGCCCCAGGGCATATAGGCCCTGGCTTGGGGCTGCAGGGAGGAGCATGGGACCCCACTGGGCCAGCTCCAGTACCGTGTCTCCCTCCAGCTGCAGGCAGTAGAGAGGCCTGCGGATTTGGTGCCTGGATCCTAGAATGGGCTGTGGATCAGGTGCGATCTGTGAGCTGGTTGTTGTTAGGTCCACCATCCCCAAAACAGTCCAATCAGACTTGCGGGTGGGGTGGGGGGAACCCTGAAAGAGGATATATGGCGGGCACGAGCCAGTTTGGGACTGGATGCCAAAGAAGAAAGGAGAAGCATGCAGAAGCCAACCTCCAAATGCCAAAAAGCTTTATGGGAAAGCCAAATTGCTTTGCAGAGGCCAGAAGCCCCCTCCCTCTGGTCTGCTGCTGACACCAGCTGAGAGAAGCCCCAGAGGCCCCAGGCCTGGTGTCTCAAAGAGCTGTTCCGTCTTGGTGTGGGCCAAAGACTCACAAAGAGCTCCACCGCTGGTGTTTCTAACACTGCCTCTGGTGACCGGGTGACAGGCACTACTGGCCAGTGCTACCCAGCACTGTTGACCGGTGACCAGCACTCAGTGTCCTGGTGACCACTGAGCATTGTTAATCATCCAGCACCACCTCCTGGTACTTCTGCCTCCATTGCTGTCTGGTCCTGCTGTGGCCGTGGGTGGCGCCGGCTTCATCTCATGGGCCCCGACTGTGAGCATTTCCAGCTGTGGTGAGTTGGGTCCTGGCCCGCTGCTCGCTGACTGCTACAAGCTCCCGGCCCTCATTAATGGGGACAGTGCCATCTTGGATGAGCAGGCTTTTGCTTAGGACTTTTGGACATTGTGGACACTATCTGGGGTAAGAGAGCTGTCCACGTGTGGCCTTATGAACTCTGCTTCCCTGTTTGTTAAATAAACCCCATTGTTGTTCCCTGAGCCTGGGTGGTCTTGCGATTGTGTGCACAGGTGAGAGCCCACAGAGAGTGACCTGTCCCCTATTTGCCACTGCCCTTTGACTCGTTATCGCACCCCTACTGCACTGTTTCAGGCATAGGAGTAAAGCAGCTTCACTCAGGATTTTACTTTTCCTCCTCAAAGCAATGGGCAGCCCTGAAGAGTTTTCAGCACAGCAATGACAGGACACAGCCTAAAAGCTGGTTCACTGACAGGTCTGATGGGGGGACGTTGTGTTGCTTTGTTTTATTTTTAAATAAAAGTAGGCTGGTGCATCCTTACCTTCCATTACTATAATAACAGTCAGGCTTTTTGACAGCTTCGAATCCATCTGGGTTCATTGAAGGCATGATATGTATCCGGGTACTATTGATTAGTTTTGTGATTTCAGGGTCTTTTCCATCACTAGTTACGAGATACTCAATTAAATGAAGCAGCAGTTCTCGGCCTACAGTCTGTGTGTGATAAAGAAAAAAGGGGATATTATTTACTTAATCAGAGGAAAATAGCCATATTTCCTAGCCAGGAGCTCTACACTTGATATCGAAGGCTAAACCCAGCTGTGAGATCCCTGTTTCTCAAGTGTTCTGATACCCTGGGCAAGAGATAATCACTAGCTGTGCTAAAAATTATTTGTCAGTTATTTTATTTTATTTATTTTTTAAAAAATAGCAATGAGATATATCTCACACTCGTGAGAATAGTGAGAATAATTTATTTATTTATTTATACAAGCACTGGGTGCAGTCAGAAACGCTGGAGGGTGAGAGAATTCACCAGAGCCAGAGCGGGGAGCAGAGCAGGCAGAAGGACCGAAGTACACTGCTGAGGGGAGCAGCGGGCGGCAGGAGAGGTCTGCGCGCCATGTGGGACCCTCCTCCGGTGGCCGGGGAGCAGCCGGGGATCGAACCAGTGCTGCAGAGGCTGCGGGCAGCTTCGCAACCCAGCGCTCAACTGCTGCGCCACGGGGGAGGCCCTCCATTTTTCAGTTATTTTAAAAGATAGAACAAGTTAATTTTTTAAAGAGTACTCATCTATAAGTAGTTTACTTTTTTTTTTTTTTTTATAGAGGCATGTTTTTTATTTATTTGTTTGTTTGTTTGTTTGTTTTTTGTTTATACATGCATACAGTCAGAAGCGCGGGAGGGTGAGAGAATTCACCAGAGCCAGAGCGGGGAGCAGAGCAGGCAGAAGGACCGAAGTACACTGCTGAGGGGAGCAGCGGGCGGCAGGAGAGGTCTGCGCGCCATGTGGGACCCTCCTCTGGTGGCCGGGGAGCAGCCAGGGATTGAACCAGCGCCGCAGAGGCCGCGGGCAGCTACGCAACCCAGCGCTCAACCGCTGCGCCACCAGGACCAGTAGTTTACTTTTTTTTTGTGGGACCCTCGCCGGCGGCCAGGGAACAAACCGGCTCTGCGGAGGCTGCGGGCAGCCCCGCAGCCCAGCGCTCAACCGCTGTGCCACCAGGGGAGGCCCTATAAGTAGTATACTTTTAAAAAATAAATTAGACTGGAGCAAAAGTTATTGTCAAGTTTCCAATTAGCTCGCCTTCCAAAATACTTTCTAGAGTGGCAGAGGCGGTAGCGTTACAGAGCAGGCTCGGGAGTTGTGCGTGTCCCTGAGGATGCCCGGTGTGAATGACAGCCATGTACATGTCTTGACGGATAATAGACTGAGAACCTCTCAATTTTCTCATTGTTGTGACAAAGGATAGGCAACCTCTGAATGGCAGTTCTGCACTTTATGCCCCTCCCTGGAAAGCAAAGAGAGCGCACTTCATGACTTCGTTACTCTAATGAGTAGAAAATAGCTGAAATTTGGACTGAGAAAATTTCAAATGTGAATTATATATTCAGAGGGAGCCATAAAATTCAGTGGAAATATACTCAATTCCGACATCAGTTTTCACTATTCTCTCCTCTTTGACTTCACTGACTTTTAATTTCAGAATCCAAATTGTCACTTAAAAATCCTTAAAAAACTAACAACAAAAAGTCAAGCTAAACCACATACTGGATTTCCAATTCTGTCTTTTGGAAGCTCAAGCAATTTTTTAAAATTTATTTTTATACAAGAACTGGGGTACAGGTCAGAGGCGCAGGAGGGTGAGAGGATTCACCAGAGACAGAGTGGGGAACAGAACAGACGGACCGAAATACACTGTTGAGGGGAGCAGTGGGCGAGACAGGAGAGGTCTGCTGCGCCATGTGGGAATCTCCCTGAGCTGGCCAGGAATTGAGCCTGTGCTGCAGAGGCTGTGGACAGCTTCACAGCGTGGCGCTCAACCCGCTGTGCCACCAGGGAGGCCCTGGAAGCTCAAGCTATTTTTGAAGCAACTTCCATGAAATACGTACTTGCTACCCTCAAACCAGGTGACTTTAATTTGTGAAATGTGGAATGTGATTTAAATGAGTTTTCTGGGTGTAGGGTAAGGTAAAAGGTATCAGACTTTTCTGCCCTCCCGCCATCAGGATAGATGATGGATCCTTGCGGTCCTGAATGCATGCCTGATGGCGGGCACCTGGAACAGGGTGTGGGCATATGCAGATGGGATTCACCTGGGCTAAGACTGGGCTTTTAAGGGCGGCGTCATGGGGACACCAGCAGAAGCTGAGAGAGAAGCAAGAGAAGCAGAAGTTGGGAGAAAGCCGGAAAGCCCAGAGTGAAGACCTGCTGGGGGCTGGGAGGCCTGCCAGCCTCCCGGCCCCCCAGCACCTCTGCCTGCCGTGTACCTGGTAATCCCAATAAAAACCTGCAAAAAACCACTGAGGACTCTGACTCCTCCTTTACCCGGTCTGCATGGGATCAGAAAACCTACACCATGTCCAGTCCTGTCCTGACCCTTACAGATGCTAGTCTTTTTTTTTTAAAATTTATTTATACAAGCACTGGGTACAGTCAGAAGCGCGGGAGGGTGAGAGAATTCACCAGAGCCAGAGCAGGGAGCAGAGCAGGCAAAAGGACCGAAGTACACTGCTGAGGGGAGCAGCGGGCGGCAGGAGAGGTCTGTGCTCCATGTGGGACCCTTGCCGGCGGCCGGGGATCAAACCTGCACTGCTGAGGCTGTGGGCAGCTTCGCAGCCCAGTGCTCAACCACTGCGCCACCAGGGGAGGCCCATAATTTCTTTTTCTTTCTTTTTTTTTTTTAAAGATTTATTTATTTTTACAAGCACTGGGTACAGTCAGAAGCGCGGGAGGGCAAGAGAATTCACCAGAGCCAGAGCGGGGAGCAGAGCAGGCAGAAGGACGAAGTACACTACTGAGGGGAGCAGCGGGCGGCAGGAGAGGTCTGCGAGCCATGTGGGTCCCTCACCTGGCTGCCGGGGATTGAACCGGCGCTGCATAGGCTGCGGGCAGCTTTGCAACCCAGCGCTCAACCACTGCACCACAGGGGAATTATATTCCCCGTAATTTCTTATTTTGAGAAAATATCAAGTTCACTAATTTTAGTTTCATTGAAGTTTCACTTCAATTTACATTTCAGTTCAAATTTTCTTGAGTTTATTATGTTTAACTCAAGTAAAGTTGAATTTTGTATTTATTTAAAAATACTATACATGACACATTTAAATTTTATATCCTACTTCTTTTCATTTGCTTACTACAGAAATACATCGATGTCTAGAACAATGTTTGGCAAATATAATGGTGGTTATTTCTGAGTGACAGTATTCTAGATGATTTTTATTTCTACTTATTTCTCCAGTGTCACTTCTTAAAGAAAACCTGTTATTTACGCACACACACACACACACACACACACACAACAATAAAATCCTGAGTGTTTCCAGGAAACAAATGTGTAACCAAGGTATTTTCTATTTGTCTCTATATTCCCACAGAAATCAGTAATTTCTCAATTGCAGAGGAAAAATAAAAATCTTGGCTATATAATAAAAGAACCAATTAAGAGTCAGACAATTTAAAAAATGCTGAGGTAAAGAGATGAAATTTCAGAGGGAGTTAAAGTCCCATTTTTTGTTGTTGAGCCATATTTTGCTGCCCTGGTAAAAGCAGATTCATGCCAAATATTATTCAAATTAATTCTTTTCAACCTTAATATGTTGCAAACACTCATTCATGTTTTATGTATAAACCTCTCTTCATTTAACATAAAGTCTTTGAATATGAAACCTTAGATAGTTCAAATTTTGAAAAAGAATGTGGTCAAAACTGTCTCCATTAACTTCACCAGTCTCTCATTTAGAACACACTCTCTCTCTAAGCATGTAGACTTAATCAAGGAATCCCTAATTCAGAGACTGATAGGCTGGAGGAGCTCACCATTCTCTGGAGTCACTGATAATTCACCCAGTAGTTAAACTGGCAATAACCCAGGAAGCAGAAAATAAATTTTGGTTCACTTCAGTCAAGTTAGAGGGCCTCCCTCGTGGCACAGGGGGTAAGTCTCAACACTGAAGCTATCCCTAGCCACTGCAGCACGAGTTCGAGCCCCAGCCAGGGAGATACCCGGGCGTAGAAGACCTCTCCTGACTCGCCCACTGCTCCCCTTGGCCGTGTATTTCAATCTGCCTGTTCTGATCCCCACTCTGTCCTGGCGAATCCTCTCACCCTGCTGCACCTCTGGCCTATACCCCAGTTCTCGGATGCATGAATAAATAAAGCTTTAAAAAAGAATTTACTAACTAGATAAAAATGATTATTCTTGTTTTTCAGAGAATTTTTATAAACAATTGAATATTTTTGAGGAAACAACTACAACTTAGGCAATGTGTTGAGAGTGAGAGATAGCAAGAAAATTACCCAAAGTCACATTGCCTAACTGAGGACATCTTGCTATCATCTGAGATAATTGTAGAAAAAAGCTTGGGAAGTTGCATTTGGAAGGACAAGCTTTATTGTTTCATCTGAGTAAGTGTAGAACTTCTATTGGAGGTGACAACACAGTCAGCCTTTATCAGGGCAGGGCAGGCATGATTTCAGATATGTCCTGCTACTTATGTTAACTATTAAAATACCCTCTAGATAAAGGCATTTAGACACACAACTACATCTCACAAACTCTTTCATACCTGGCAGGCTTGTGAAAATGATGTATCCTTTATTTTTAGGTTGAAAATTATGGACACTGTTGTCCAGGAAAGGTTTTTCCTTTCAACCTATATACCTCTGGAATACAATCAACTATAAATGTGAACATTTATAAAATGTGAAAATCTGAGGGCTACATGGATATTTCAAAAGTCCAGGCCAAATAAACCATCACAGTAAAAAGAGAAATCACTGTTGTTTACAAACAGAAACTTTAAAACATCTCTAGTGGGAAATCAGGACTCAGAATTGGCAATTCAGTTAAGCTGAACAGACACATATGGGATACCTACACTTACACCTCTTCAGACCATGGACCCTGGGAGGCCCAGGCACCTTGTGAGCCCATCCTCCAACCTGTACTTTACCTGTCACTGGATTAGTTTAGGCCTACAGCTGTCAA